TAACCACTGGGCAACCCCACAGCCCCGAATTACAACATCACTGAATGTACTAGGTTGTAGAGTTTGACATGAAATACATTTAGATACACATTTATTCACTATTCTGTTCATACAGACAAGACCATAATCAAATGTAGGTCCAGGAGTGATAGATCTATGAGCCAACAGTTGGTTCTGTCTTATAAATGTCAAAGTTACGTTAATCAGTCAGTAATGATGAACTATTCACAGTTAAGTGAAGTTGTGCTTCTTCAAAGCTTTGCTCTGCCTTACCGACAATACATACATACATACATACATACATACATACATATATACATACATACATACATACATACATACATACATACATACATACATACATACATACATACATACATACATACATACATACATACATACATACATACATACATACATACATACACATACACACATACATACATACATACATACATACATACATACATACATACATACATACATACATACATACATACATACATACATACATACATACATACATACATACATACATACATACTCATACATACATACATACATACATACATACATACATACATACATACATACATACATACATACATACATACATACATACATACATACATACATACATACATACATACATACATACATACATACATACATACATACATACATACATACATACATACATACATACATACATACATACATACATACATACATACATACATACATACAAGGGGCGCTGGGGTAGCCTAATGGTTAAAGCGTTGGCTCGTCACGCCGAAGACCCGGGTTCGAATCCCCACATGGGTACAATGTGTGAAGCCCATTTCTGGTGTCCCCCGCCGTGATGTTGCTGGAATATTGCTAAAAGAGGCGTAAAACCAAACTCAGTCAGTCAGTCAGACATACATACATACATACATACATAGACACAGACCCGTGAAGATGCCGGGGTAGAATAGGTCTTCAGCAACCCATGTGCTTGCCATAAAAGGCGACTATGCTTGTCGTAAGAGGCGACTAACGGGATCGGGTGGTCAGGCTCGCTGACCTGGTTGACACATGTCATCGGTTCCCAATTGCGCAGATCGATGCTCATGCTGTTGATCACTGGATTGTCTGGTCCAGACTCGATTATTTACAGACCGCCGCCATATAGCTGGAATAATGCTGAGTGCGGCGTAAAACTAAACTCACTCACTCACTCACTCACTCACATACACACACACACACACACACACACACACACACACACACACACACACACACACACACACCAACCTACCTACCTATACTATGGTATGATCAAGTAGATGATACTTATGTGTGTTTCCGTCCCATCCTTTCAAGTGATCTTAATCCTTGGTTATAACAGTACTTAGTTTTAGACGCGAGGCTATAATATTTGGAAGTTGATTTTTATTCATTCAGACAAATCTCTAACCTATTTGTCTACCGATTTTCCCGACAGCTTCTGGTGTTGACCACAATTAACACAGATACCCTGACTGAGTGGAGCTGCCCTCTAACAGAGGTAGCATGCGTGTGGTTGTGAACGCTCTGAAGTTGTGTGGGAGCGGAGGAGAGAAGCACTAAAATATATTTGTTGCAAAGTTTATCGAAGTTTTATGTTCACTTGGCTTTGCGATGAGGGCGGAATCACATTTTATGATGTCTGCACGAGTCATGTCAAGGTGACTTCAACAGGGAAATCACTGGCCTCGTTTAAAATATTCGATCGACTTGGCATCACGCGGAGTATCAATGAATGAGTATTTTCTTAGAGAAATTAGTGATCTTGCGTTACGTCGCATTTGTGTCTTCTATAGGTAGATTCATAAATGGGCTTTAGAACTAAAACTTGGGATGAATTGTGTGTGTGTGAGAGAGAGAGAGATACAGAGATCTAGCGATATGGAGAGATAAAGAGATAGAGAAATTAGTTTTACGCCGTACTCAGCAAAACTGGAAAATACATCAAGTCAAGAACAGCACTTTAACAACTACTAGTATTCAAACCCAGCTCAAAGTATGGTGGAAACATCGAACAAAACACAGTCTTGTAAAATATTATTTCTGGATGAAATAATTTTCCTGACATTTAGCTCACAGAAATCGGATATCTTAGTACAAAAATGTTTATCAATAATTAATTGAAAAGCGGTCGATCTCTTGGCGAAGCACGTTTCTGAGTGATCGGCATCTTGTTGGTTACACGGGACCAGTGCAGCCACCGCCATGTCTGGAGGTATACCAACTGAAGGTAAACATTCTTAGATTAACATTCAGCAGAGTATGTTTCATAGTTTAGATGGTGGAGATGAGATGAAGGTGGTTTACGTTGCTTCAATGTTATTGTGTGTGGAAGTCCGGACTGCAGTCGGCGTTACAGTGCCCCACCACTAAGGCCCCTTGTATTACCTCGCTATAGTTCTAACAAGGATACTCCGTTGAAACACAGTACACTGACCCCGGCCGTGCTAGGTGGATCACGTAACTCCCCGAGATGACATCACTCAAGAGTGATTCCGGCCAAGGATCAAATCACTCCCCCGCAGGATCAAAACGCCCCCAGCATTGAAACATTAATATTCCCATTATACATTATGGATAATGTTTTGTAATGTATAATAATATTATCTATTATTTTATACTGTTGTTGTGTTCTGAAATACCACTTATAGCTAATCGAGTGTAGTAATGAGGTCGACATTTTTCACGAGTAGCGTAGTCACAATTCAATGTGTCGACCATAACACTTCACGAGATGAGCTAAAAGTGGTATTTGGGAAAAACAGTGAATATTCTATTTATTATATATTTTACAGACTTTTACCTCCTCAAACCAGCAATGTCAATATTAGAACGAGGAAACCTGATCACGAAGCTGAACTCCTTACACCAGTAAAACATAAATCAAAGCATACACGTTGCTTTTACAACAAGACAGTGGCCTTTTCGATTTCTAATGTACAAGACATGAATCTTCTCTAACTATTATGCACATAGTGAGTGTAGGATATTGGTGTGCTTGAAAAAGCAATCAGTGAACATTCTTCCGTGGGACTAAAAACATCAAGCCAATCCTTTCATATTATTTTAGAAGCATGCCTCAAATACTTTGTGGATATAATGAGGAAAGTAATTTGTTGACAATATTAAATGATTATGGCTAATCTTTGATACATCTGCTGGATATTTCTCTCTTTGTACAGAATATACAAACACGTTTATGTGATCATTCTTCAGTGTACATAAACACCTTATAAAACATCTGACAAAAACTTCAACCGCCAGCCAAGGCGGGGGGGTAGCTAAGTGGTTAAAGCGTTCGCTCGTCACGCCAAAGACTCGGGTTCGATTCCCCACATGGGTACAGTGTGTGAAGCCCATGTCTGGTGTCCCTGCCCTGATATTGCTTGGAATTTGCTAACAGCAGCGTAAAACTAGGCTCACTCACTCACTCAACCGCCAGCCAACAGGTAACCATAACAAACTGTATTGTCGGTGTTTAGGGATTAAGCTTCATATTCTCCTAAAGAACAATGCCAACGACAGCTGATTGTTATCGGAGGGCATAATAATATTCTGTGAAATGTGAACAGTAACAATTCAATCGATAGGAAGAATGACAGCAACAATGCAGCAAGTAGTACCTGCTGGTGATCATCACCTCGCTATGACAATTACAGGATCTATTTCCTCTTCCACCAGCGAGTCTGTGCTTTATGTGTGTTGTGGGGGGCCGTGTGCGACTTCAAACAACCTGCCCTCTCAGACAGGAAACAGAACTCAGAGTGTAACCATGGTAAATCGATTGTTTCATCTCGAAACACGACAGACCACAATGGGAATAGCTTTAAGATATCATTTCAACATTGAAGTGTTTCTGCTAGAGACCCTAATTATTTGAACAATATTGTCAATACAATCAGCCCGGGCTGGAGCTCATCCTCGCCTTGTTCTAGACCGTGTGTGTATATCCTATATCAAGACTTAAATCTGAATTGCACAATCTACAAGGATTGTGTACTGACATGACAGAAGGAGAATCAATACTGGAGCAGGTTCACCGACATTGTTTAATAATTGACTGTTATTTTTACTTTAAACAATCTATATAACGTAGGACGTGCTCTAGCAACGAACAGAAATAATTTCCATCTGGTTCTCAGAACTGATACGCAGGGATGTCGTCGTAAAGACGTGTTTACAGTAGATGCAGGGGTGTATTGTGAGGCTGCCATGTCGACTCAGCCCACGTCATTGGAACAAGTTAGAGAACATATGACTTCAGCGAAATCCTCAGTGCTGGTCGATTAATATTGACATCCTTGTTCATTGACTATTGAGGTACAACCAGGTGTGTGTCTCGGAGTACAGTATATGATACGGGTAATGTCTGTGATGTGCTACTGAATCATGGCAGCTGTAGGATACTGCTGAACTACGTCACCTGTTCATGTGAAATATTTGAAAGGTTTCGTAAATTGTACCTTTTAATGTTACGCAGCTAAAACCAGATCACGTGACACAGGCACCACGAAGACAAAGAGTGGACTTTTTTCATTATTCAATACCCAGTGTAGCATTCATGAAAGGTGCTGACAGCGCCTAAATTCTCTCCTTGGTGGTTTACAGTCAAGCGACATTTCCTTTAACAGGTGGATCAAAACCCCAAGTTAGAGGACTGTTGTTAGCATTACTAAAACAACGAGTTTTTTTAAATATATATATATATATTTTTAAAAACGTTTCTTATTCTGCGTATATTTTCAACTTCAGCTAAAGATCATAATCGAGTCTTCCCGTGTGAGAAACGATAGAGAAAACAAGAAGAACACACGAACGCCAAAGGCTATCCTAGTGTGATTTAATAAACTGTGCTTCGATAAATATAATTCCATTGTGAACGAGGCATTCTTATTCATCGGAAACTTCCTGAACAAAGATGGTGACATTGCTCGTTATGTGTTACTAGAAGTCGTGACATGTCCAGCTGATCAAACACTGTCGGTATGGTATACATGTATACAGATGCGATGGAACTCCTGCAGGACTAGTCGTAGATGGATGTGCCAACACTGTACGTCAACGTCGTGTGCCTCCTGATCCTCGTCCCAGCATCAGATGAGCGGCCATCCAGACAGCAGCATGCCAGGTTCCGTAACAAGCACGACATGAAGGATGTCATCTTCCAGCAGGATCTCATCAGGGAGATGAAAGCCAGCAGGGTGGGGTGTGCCTCGCAGTGTCATATTCACGCGACCTGCAAGTCCTACTTCTACAACAAGTCAACTCGCCGGTGTCGACTCCATTCCACCATCTTCACCGACACCACTGGAGCCATACCTACAGAGGGATGGGACTACTACGGGAGACATGCAACTTCAGGTGAGTGACCAGTGACGGATGTTGTGGGACGCTGGAGTGTATCACAATTATGTCCAAATATTCCATCGAAACCTGTTGTTAGTAATATGAAAACATTCCTAGTTGAACCGAGTCAAGCAGGTCACCAAACCTGACTACTCGCCTCATACGACCTTTTGGACCTTTGTTAATCCACATATTGCTCGATGTCTGTCCGGGAGCTGAACGTGATTTGGTGCCGAGGTGGCCCCCTACCAAACTTGTGTATGGGATAAAGAAACACTGTTCTGTTTAAAGACTTAAGTGAAGATGTGTATACAGTAGGCTAGCATTATATAACCTGCGTGACCAGGGGAAGTAACCTCCCAAAACACGTGCACGCATGTCACTATGTGAGTGTACTATTATTGAACATGGTGTCCAATCCAATTTAACCTGATCTCAGCTGGCTTTACTTCAACCACATTGCATATCAAACAGCCACAGCTGAGTGAGTGAATGATTTTAGTTTCTGTTCTGTAAATAATCTAATCTGGACCAGACAATCCAATGATCAACAGCATGTGCATCGATCTAGGCATTTGGGATACGATGACATGTATGGAATCGACCACATATGATATCAATTTCATAGTGAGTGAGTGAGTTTATTTTTACGAAGCACACAGCAATATTCCAGCTATATGGCAGCAGTCTGTAAATAATCGAGTCTGGACCAGACAATCCAGTTATCAACAGCATGAACATCGATTTACGCAATTGAGATACGATGACATGTGTCAACCAAGTCAGCGGGCCTGACCACCCGATCCCGTTAGTCGCCTCTTACCACAAGCATGAAGATCAATTCTGACCCGGATCTTCGCGGGTCCCACAGCTGACCTGACTCAAGTGAGACCACCACTAAAAGTTGTACACTCGGACATTGAAAATACATCATGTAGATATACCGGTATACTGGACACGTGAACACCTGGTGTTGTCACTGATTGTCAGTGATGCACTCATTATTGTAATCGCTATTTTGCCTTTTACACCAAAAAAGAATCCATTTCAGAGAATAATCGAGACTGATGCACTTAACCTTGTATTGTCAAAATGGAAATTTTAACAAACATATTTCGCGATATACAATGTACTACGTTTAAAACAAACACGCTTAAACGAACATAATCAGATATCACGAATTGCTTTTTCTTGTCCCGACCACTTGTGTATTTTAGTCAAAATGCGTGCTTATATAACAAACTAAAATCAGTGGTCCTTTTGAGTGGCCCTAAACAATTTCACTAACTAAAATTATATAATTTAAATTCATTTGTGTATTTGATACAAGTTTGGTGATTCGGTAAACAGAATTTTAACTCACATCTTATTGACTTCTCTTTTCAGTCAAAAGAAACAAGGCAAAAACGACAACAAAGACATTACCCTTGGAATCGTCAACACTGAGCCCTGAACATACAGCTGAAGCATCAACTACTGTAGATATAACTGCATCCAACTCGGGCGATGCTTCAATAGGGACAACACAATCTTCTGGGAAGGAGGTTTCAGAGGAAGCCAGAAGCTCCCCTGGTACGACTGAGGAAAGAACAGTTACAGAAGCCGATCCTGAAACAACTACCAGCGACACTTCCGCACAGAAGAGTCGTCTCTTGTCCACACTGGCAACAAGATATAGGTCCAGAACAGCAAGCAGCACAGAGATGGGTGGAGCCCAAGAGAACCGTTTGACAAGTCGCATGGTGACCAAACCATTCGTGAAACTGTGGGCAGTCACACCTGAGTCTCCTCCTCCCGGGAAGCTAGCCTCAATATCAACCCAAGACAGCCTTTCAACGACGGAAGATGGGATTAAAAGTGCACCAGGGTCGCGTGTCACCATAAAAACGACTGGCAATGTGGTCTCCTCCTCCCCCACCTCTTCCACTACCACCTCCTCCACCTCCTCCATCTCCTCCATACCTACAACTGACAGGGACACAACGTTTAATGCAAACGAACAGTTTTCTGAACAAATTTTGTCAACGTCAAGTAACAGATCAGAAGATGATAACATGCCAGAAACAGACAGTTCCGTATCTGTAGCACCAAAGGATACAACGGCTAGCAACACAGGTCAGGTAGTTCAAACATCTCACCACAACGAGGACCAGCATGATGAGCTGAACTTTCTCACCACTGAAGATCATGCCCAGTTGTTTGAATTGTCAACAGGTCTGGCGATCTCTCCTGAGACAACTGGAGATGAAGACGACGAAGCTGGAACGTTCACAGTTATGATGGTAATTGGTGACGATGATGATGAGGTTGAAACTACCCAGTTCATGATGGGACCCGGTGTGGAGTCCACAGTGAGTGTCATATCTATCGGTGGGGACGACGACGACGAACACCATCAGCACATACTGGACCATGACGTGGAAGATGACGGCGAGGTTTACTCCACGACTGATGTCTCAGCCATTACACCTGAACGAGGACCACTACAGGAAAGTGACGCTGGCAAGACCACCGAGGAGAAATCACCTTATGCTACACTGAGACTCGACAAAAGTAAGATGTTCCACTTGACATTACAGATTGTAAATAGTGTGATTGCAGGGTGAACACAAATACCAAAACAGAAGTTTTTATATCTAATCCGTAAACTTTCTAAATCGCTGGTCATGAAATTCATCAAATGTACACTTGTTTCACAAAGCAGTTTACCGATATATGATTTCTTCTTTAAGGTGTGGCGAACTCTGGATCTACGGAATCGGTACGTATTCTTCAATATCAACATAGGCAATGGATAAATGGATAAAAAATATTATTTTTATCGTTAAATTACTTTTTAAGTAACTCTGTATATTTCGTCTTTTAGTTTTGACGAGGTTGACCAGTCAGCTCCTTACCCATATGCATATTTATATGTTTACAAATGGAACACATCTACAAAACAATTAACGACATTTTCTATTGCTGAAAGCTGAGAAACCATCATTTAACTGAAATATTGGTCAAAGGGGCCACAACCCAGCTTTCTCGCTAGCATGTAACTTGCAGTTTTCCCTTGCCAAATTTCTCTCTAGGAAAATTTGAAAAGTAACACACATGTCTTTTATGGCAGAGGTCGAATCAGGTCATGTCCAGTTTAATCAGTTCATGCCCAGTTTAATCAGGTTATTTACTGCTGTATCCCATCTGCCTGTTCCAGCCGACCTCTGGAAGTTCTGTAGCAGGCAAGGTGGCTACCTATGTAGTGTTGGGAGTGGTTCTCCCTCTGTTGGGTGCGGTAGGGTATGCTCTGTACCGTCGGTGGAGAACAGGATCCTGGACTCGCCTACACAAACAGGATGACAGCCTGAGTCTACAGCTCGTCTCCTCCACTGATGGACTGACCATGTAATACTCTGGGGATACAGCTTTTTGTTTTTTGGGTGGGAATGTGGGTATTTTTGTTTGAGACAAATTGTCTTTAAACAATTTTACCTTAATACATAATTTGCTCTGTTTATCTGGATTTCAAAGAGCGTCATGCCACTCTTGCTAAAGGTTACAGCATTTAAAGCCTCAGTAAAGCTTTCAAGAAATTTTATGGTAGACATGTGAAGGTAATTTCCAACTTTGATGCAGAAGTGACAAAAAGGATGTTCAATGCAATTCTCTATTTTGACTTATACCATACGTTTCAGGTGAACAAATGTCTAGACTTACAATATGTTTAATACTGGTGCCACCGGTGGGGCAGGATACACTCACCTTTCCGCGAACATCTTGTATCATCACTGTTGCATTGTGATTCATAACCACATGCTCTGTCATCGTATCGCAAGGTGACTATTACTGGATTGTCTGGTCCAGACCCGATTTGTTTACAAACAACATCATACAACTGTAATACTGCTGAATAAAGTATATAGTCACAGTTGTAACTGAACTCTGCTTTTGGCAGATATTTCTTATGAATGTGGAAAGGGTTTTGTCGCTTGTATTTTCTCCTCAAGAATATTAAATGGTCGGCACTCAGTTAACACCAGATCGATGTTTGATAACAGTGGCTAAATGTATGTCACAGTCAACAAGTTTCCAGATAACGTGAGAACAACTATGGACTCGGTTCGCAAGAGAAGGGAACACGACAGTCAATGACTGTCCGGTACGATGACAAAGAAACTATCTATTTTTCTATGTGTTGATGACTTAAGTGTCTATTTTGTTTAAACAAGGATACATATATTACTGTTCTTGCCTCTGAAATGACTGACGATGACATATGTATTTATGTATTTTACCAATGGGAATTGTTTCAAATGTAAATAGTGATGTGTTGTGTTTGTTATGTAAAGATATAAGGTGTACATGTACAGGCGCCTTGTTTGCTGGAGCATGGGAACACATGCTTCTGGCAATGCTGGCGCAATATTGACATGTCCAGGTCAGTTTAGTTTTCTCCTATACCTGCTTCTGTAAGCGCACAAAGCTCATTTTCCATAAAGTTGAAACTTTGCCATTGATGTTGGTCATTCAAATAACTCTATGCTTACCGACCAATAAGAATGCTATGCTACTTAAACAACATTATGTTTAAACATTAATATTTAGCCTGTCAGTATATAGATTCCTTGGTGTATAGAGACTAGACCTGGCAATAGATCCTTGGTGCCTGACTTGATCTGACGACATGGTCTGTCTGCTCTAAGACCTGGCCTGTAGATAATCTCTATCTACCTAACAATAAGCTTCCTTTGCAGTAAGCCCTAAACTGACATTACGCTCCTTCTGGTGTCAGACCTTCCCTGACAATATGCTCTCTCTGCTGTAAGATTCTCCTGACAATCTGCTCTCTGCTGTAAGACAATCCCTGACAATATGTTCTCTCTGCTGTAAGATCTTCGATGACAATATGCTCTTTCTGGTGTAAGACCTTCGATGACAATATGCTCTTTCTGGTGTAAGATCTTCGATGACAATATGCTATTTCTGGTGTAAGACCTTCCCTGACAAATGCTCTCTGCTGTAAGACCTTCCCGGACAATATGCTCTTTTGGTTGTAAGACCTTCCCTGACAATATGCTCTCTCTGCTGTAAGACCTTCCCAGACAATATGCTCTTTTTGGTGTTAGACCTTCCCTGACAATATACTCTCTCTGCTGTGAGACCTTCCCTGACAAATGCTCTCTGCTGTAAGAGTTTCCCTGACAATATGCTCTTTTAGGTGTAAGACCTTCCCTGACAATATGCTCTCTCTGCTGTAAGACCTTCCCTGACAATATGCTCTTTTTGGTGTTAGACCTTCCCTGACAAATACTCTCTGCTGTAATACCTTCCCTGACAATATGCTCTCTGCTGGTGAGACCTTCCTGACAATATACTCTCTCTGCTGTGAGACCTTCCCTGACAAATGCTCTCTGCTGTAAGACCTTCCCTGACAATATGCTCTCTACTGCTAGACCTTCCCTGACAATATGCTCTTTCTGGTGTAAGACCTTCCCTGATAATATGCTCTCTCTGCTGAAAGACCTTCCCTGACAAAATGCTCTCTGCTGTAATTCGGATTTAGCGCCCAAGTATTACAACTTTATCGGATGTAATTATGCTTTGGGTAGATAAAATGCGTTTCCTGTCTACCATAACGTCCTTACTATGTAAATATTGTGAAAGTGTTAACGAGAGGACACGACGGTTTAGTGTACCACTGTCGACTAGACACAGGAGTGTTGGGCTACTTTCTTCCCACTTAGACACAGGCTCGCGAATGTCGTAACAGCATAATGTGCCACTGTGTGCTGCAGAGATTTGAAGCTGTCGTGGTTGACACAGAGAGGCAAATGACCAAGTTTGACCATAAGAATCATTCGTCGAAGGTGTTGTACATTGCAAATTTGCCGCAAAATGGCTGAAACAATGTCTGAACGACATATTCCACATAAAAAATGTGTATTGTATAACGGATAACTCTTACTGGGGCACGAAGCACACCCGGATACTCAATATTACAACGTTACATCTCAGGTGGTGATAAAGACTGTGCCCATGTACATTTTAATGTTCAAAAATACAACTGTGTTTACGACTGCGGATCCATGGAGACCTTGTCGGCTAGGCATGACGCTAAACCATACCTGAACACAAGCATCTTTTCCCTCGAATAAATATTGTTCATATTGTTCAGCTGTTGGTGATTTTGGGCGTGTAACCAGATTTAACTTGGGACCTTCGGAATCCCAAATGTTTACTTTGTTGTGTATGTGACCACAGTTGATCACTGAGAACATTTACAAGACATAACACTGGAGAACAATCAGACTGATCTTTGAAACATTACACTGTTTGCAAAATGCAACTTAGATTTAAATAAATTGGTCACATCAGTGATGGTACCGGGCGTTCAATAGATAGTAGTCTGTCTCACCAACCCTGAACCACATTAGTTCATAGGAATTAGTTTCAAAGTATTGTTTCCATCAAAATATATAACGAAACGTTAGTCTGACTAAAAGGGTAAACACGTCGCTCATAGATAATTTGCTGAAACAACTGTCTGTTGCCTGGCCTCACACAAGTGTTCCTACTCCAAGACGGTGGGTGCACTATCCAGTTGATCAGGAACGTGACAGAAAAGACAAGCTTGTAACACGCTAGAACATGTACTGTTTTGGATACAAGATCCAAAGATTTGTTAGTTCTGAATTCCTTCTTCGAAAGGGCAGTTGGAATCTCAAATGTGGTGTTAACAGCTCCTTGAACAACACATCACCTCACCAATACAGAGAAGTATGTCTGTGGATTAAAACCTGCATCGTCTTCTTTGGTTATATTTACACGACACAGATGTCATTTTGAACAAAATGTCTACACCAACAACGCCTAAAAAGAGATAATTACATCTTCAGTTCCCTTTTATTAATAGGAATGCTCAGAAATGTAACTCCCACAAGTAAGTATTATAGGCTAATGTCCTGTATACTGAGGAAGAGTGGGGCTTTTTGGAAGGGTAGTCTAGTGGTTAAAGCGTTCGCTCATCACACCGGAGACCTGGGTTCGATTCCCCACATAGGTATATATGTGTGAAGCCCATTTCTGGTGTCCCCCGTCGTGACATTGCTGGAGTGAGTGAGTTAGTGAGTTTAGTTTTACTTTGCAGCACTCAGCAATATTCCAGCTAGATGGTGGCGGTCTTTAAATAATCGGATCTGGACCAGACAATCCAGGGATCAACAGCATCAACATCGACCTACGCAATTAGGATACGATGACATGTGTCAACCAAGTCATCGAGCTGACCACCCGATCCCGTTAGTTGACTCTTACGAGAAGCATGAATTACTGAAGATCAATTTTAACCCGGATCTTCACGGGTATGACATTGCTGGAATATTACTAAAATCGCTGAAGAAACTGTCTTGCCTTGTCTTCTTGTAGGTCACTCTAAGATGGCTGTATGTGATGGATTCTCCAAGTTTTCAGAAGCACCAGAAACACATTTCCTTACTGGATTTTTATTTACAGACAAAACTACAATATCATCTCACATTTACTGTACTGATCAAGAAGGAAAAAACAATTCTTTTAGAAACATAACAACATAAAATACAAAGATACACTTAGTAATCGCTTATGACAGCTTTGGCACTTCTTGTAATGGGGTAATGCTCTGTTGTATCGGTGGTAGACATTGTCTGAGTGAAGACGTGTCCAGCTTTTGCTCCAAGTAACATCACCTTGCATGAGAGAATGGGCTGACAGGACCCAGTGGGTAACCTGCTGCTAATGGGCTGACAGGAATCAGTGGGTAACCTGCTGCTAATGGGCTGACAGGACCCAGTGGGTAACCTGCTGCTAATGGGCTGTCAGCATGAACATAGGCTGAATCAAGTATTGGGCGTTAATACGATATACTTGTCTTAGGAATTGGGCTGACATACTCTCTTATCTCCTTCTATTCTCTACAGCAATTTGCTTGTATTTGGAATCATGCTTCAATGATTCATTATGTATATGTTTTAAGATCAATACGATATCAGTATATGTAACATGTATGGCCCACTAAACAAAAGGTTGGCATGCATTATTTTCAGGATTACAAAGACGGGCTCAAATAACGGAATGGCTGAATGAAAACTTATGAAGCCCTTGACAAGCATGTCTTCTGTCTGGAAGCGTAACTAACCACCAGGAATTATGATGGATATCGCCAACTCAACAAGCTGACATCCGCGGTGGGATGGAAAGGACATGACACATACCACTTTTTATTAACGTTGAAACAAGATATTATGCATGGTAATATGGACTAGAGTCAGCCATTCCTTTCTCTATTAAGTCACGATGTCACTTACTGGTGAGTTCTATTACACACCGATTGACGCGGCCTTCAGTTCACTGCTTCCAAAATTCATCATATTATATGAACATCCATCTCAATGCCAGAATCAGCTTTGGTCCCTCAAGCACTATGGGGAACTACAGACATGTAGTAATGATCCACATTTTTTTGAATTCTTAAGTGTGGAAATGTTTAATATAATCAATTGTTTATTATTACTTGCAAGAACACCAGAATGAATAAATTTCAAATCATCACTGGCAAGTGTAATTCGAATTTCAACATTAAATGATTTCTTGTCCTTTCGCTTCACAAAGCTTCATCAACTGAACTGAAACAATCCCTGAAACAGTTGTTGTTTAAAAACTCAAAAAGAATTGAGATGACACTCACTGCATAACCTGAAGCAATAAATTGGAAAAAAACATATCATTTTATGTCCTTGTGATTTCAGATAATGGTATACTTGATGTCTCTTCTCATTCAAATGATAAGTAAGAAAATTGTGTTGATATTACGTCTGTGCACAATTGAACAAAGTTTCACAAAAGGATATGTTCTAATGAGGCATAATATCTATTTATCAACTATTGATTACTAAAAATAAACAATAGGACTCTATTGCTGATGACCAGCGTCTAACACTCATGTGTGAAAAAATATAAAGCTAAATTTATGCTATGAAATATGATATTAGAATATGAAAAAAGTGAATTACCTTGGTCTACCTTCGGAGGGATCATTGTGCAAATATAACAATGCTGTTTGCTCTATAAACTAAACAATGACAAATCATCAATACAACATACATAACAAAACAATATCAAAATACAATTGAATCAAAGCGAGGTATATTTGTATTTGATTTACACTAATATCAAGAAGTCTAACATATAAAAAGAAATTGGAATATTATGATATGGAGGAATTGTAACTCATCACTTCAACAAAACGTGACACATGCAGGGCTGGTACTTTCTGTGAACTGGTGACACATATACAAGAAACAAGGATTACACAGTGTAAGTGGTGGAAGGTGTGAAAGAAAAATACATAAAATCAATAACCCAAAATATCCTAACTTTGTACAAATACCTTCTTAACCAGTTGTCAACAAAATATAGATATAGCCTTAATTAGCCACTTGCTATTTTGCCAAATATATTAATATGTTTTTATCCATACTCTACCACTTTATTTATGTAGTCATTAGATGAGGCTATCACAGGTGGATGCTAAGGTAGGCAGGCTAAGTAAAAAGTTGATAACTAAGGAAAACACATTCTCCTCCCTTAGTGAAAAAATGATCCATACATTGTAAATGTTAAGCTCATCAAGTGAGACACTCAGTAAGACAATTCCAAACACTTTCTATTTCTTATTTATCAATGTCCTTTGCTATGACTGAATGAATGGTGATCTAGCAGACAGAAAAGGAGCTAAATGTGGAGAAGGGCAAACATTTAAAAGGTGACCATAAAACATGGTCACAACAAATTTACAATATTTTTCTGAATATTGCTTAGCGCAAAGCAGCTGGTGCCCATTTTTTCATGAGCATTTTGGTCATTTTGGTTCCAATAAATTGGTCAAGATTATGTTACACTTCCCTGTTACCATGTTAAATGTTGAATAGTGTAAGTGAATAGTTGGGTATATTTCATCAGTCACTGTCGTGAGGTAGGATAGAGATACTGGACAATGGCCGAGGTTTTATTTAGTTAATTCTTTACAATATGTATTTTAAGAACTATAATCAACATCTCGCTTTATATGTTGAAAATGAAAAACAGCACAGAAATTAAATTTCTGTAACATTTCCTCAAGCCAAAGAGTGTTTTCCTAAGACAGAACACAACAATAACCACAACATACGTCTAGGCCTACCCTGTTAAACATGTTCAAGCAGTGAGACAATATAGTATCTCTAATAAACTGGGACTGCTATGTAGTTCCTCTCTGTTAAAGAAATCTGTATCTCAATTCTTCTACCGGTTTGGTCAAGACTGGACCATATTTATGAGAAGGAAAACAGTAGGATCTACTAAACAAAAACAAAATTTCAGCAAAGCATTGTAATCCTTGTAACTGACAAAAATCTTTAAAGACATGAGGTCACATAAAGGTGTTTCTTGCTTTATGACATAAAAATAACATTCTGACACAGAGACATTAGTTAGCTTGTAAGTTTCAACATTTACATAAGGCATAAGGAGAAACAGTATTAAGAAGAATAAAGATAAAAACATTGAATTATCAAAAAAGCAGTGATACTTCTAAAATGAATCAAAATAACTTTTTAAAAAATTGTTGCAAAAGAAACCTGAAATATTTTTATCTCAACCATTTCTACAGTGAACAAATATAACATGAATTGAGCATAATTATATGATACAACTGCGTCCCTCTGACGGCCGCCAACGACTGAAGCAATGTCAGAATAGCGTGTACCATCGGTTTTCTTCAACACAGTCTGGCAGCAAGTTCAGAAACAATGTTCCAAAATACGTTGTGAAGATATAACAGTTTCAAAATGAATATTTCTGTTGTATGTTCATTGAATCCTTGTCAGTCATCACAGCAGAACCATCCATAGAAAGAGTAGAAAGCATTAATACATTAATGTCTGAGGCAGAGGTTACCGAAACGTCCGTCAGGATCCTGGCCTGAATTATTATTATGGTTAGTCATGTTTTTCATTGGCTCCAGAAAATCAAAAATATGAAAATAAAAAAAATCAAATTCATATATTTTACATTTATAAGATAAATTTTAAACATGTTTTATATTTTAAGCCGATATTTTAACAGTTTATTTGTATTGATAGTGACAGTAAATGAGTTTCTGTTGTCCATGAAAAACAGAAACACTGCTCTTTGGCCATATTTTTTCACATTTCAAAATCTGTCAAATTTCTACACAAAGTTACAACATGTGTGGCCTGAGTAGTAAGAATCCTTCTTGAGTTATTGCAAAACATCGATGTCTCCATGCTGTGCAATGTTAAACTGTTACTAGTGAACTACACATACTTTGCCGACACTGATGCGCTAGGCTGCACTGCTTTAGCGTGGGCGGCCTGCAGAGACACACGCAGAAATATCAAGGGACATAGTTTTGTATTTTGTAATGCTGTGTGAAATCACAAAAAAATATGCCATTTGGATATCAGATAAAACACTAGACTACTCAACTACCAGCTACAGTGGCTTCATTGTTCAAGAGACTCTGAGATTCAACAATCAGTTTACTTTGGTAATATCGAACACAACATCTATGACTAGCAGATACTGTTCTGACTGGAAACACATTGACTCGGAACAAAACTTTCATTTTTACTGGATAAATGACAAGAAAACCCACAGACAAATTGAGAATTATGAACATATTCAAAAACCAAAAAAAAGAGCTGAACTTCTGCTCACAGAATGAAATAATTGATTGATGAATGAAATGTCAATATAACAAAAAGATTGTCGATAGATCAAAACACAAACTGAACACATAAGGATTTTGTCATTTTTGACAAAGGAAAAGTTTTCCTTCTGAAGCCTCTCTGACCATGATGAAAGTTCCTCACTTCATGAAAGGTTACTTCAACGTTTTCCTAATCACAAAGTTGAAAGAAAAGTATTACTTAAATATGTCTAATATAAGTCATTAATATGAGATGACCCCATGTATATTTTACCAATAAGAATCTCAGAGCAAATCTGGTATGGCCATGGACACAACTCTACACATGAAGTGTGGCACTTCAAACAACTGATCTCTCATACCAACCTACCACAGAAACTCATTGCAGTCACATTTCTTCAGATGATAAAGTTCCTCTTATAAACAAGTTAAATTAGTTTTTCTCACCAATCCTTACAAATGTTGAGCAGTATATAGAGCAAAACCACACCATCCTGAGACTGAAAATGTCCAGGGTGAAAACAGCCATCCTATCAATGTTGACATATTTCTGGGTGACAAGTTGCTTACAGGAATCGGAACATTAAATCCACCTTCTCAACTGACTCAAAGTGGTGTGGACAGATTCATTCATGCGCCATGACATGTTACAAGTCTGTCTGACAGACAACACACATTCTGGTCCAAACATGAAATCTGTCTGACAGACAACACACAATCTGGTCCAACCATGAAATCTGTCTGACAGACAACACACAATCTGGTCCAACCATGAAATCTGTCTGACAGACAACACACAATCTGGTCCAACCATGAAATCTGTCTGACAGACAGACACACAATCTGGTCCAACCATGAAATCTGTCTGACAGACGACACACAATCTGGTCCAACCATGAAATCTGTCTGACAGACAACACACAATCTGGTCCAACCAGGAAATCTGTCTGACAGACGACACACAATCTGGTCAAACCATGAAATCTGTCTGACAGACGACACACAATCTGGTCCAAACATGAAATCTGTCTGACAACCATGAAATCTGTCTGACAGATGACACACAATCTGGTCCAACCATGAAATCTGTCTGACAGACAACACACAATCTGGTCCAAACATGAAATCTGTCTGACAGACGACACACAATCTGGTCCAAACATGAAATCTGTCTGACAGACAACACACAATCTGGTCCAAACATGAAATCTGTCTGACAGACAACACACAATCTGGTCCAACCATGAAATCTGTCTGACAGACAACACACAATCAGGTCCAACCATGAAATCTTTCTGACAGACGACACACAATCTGGTCCAACCATGAAATCTGTCTGACAGGCGACACACAATCTGGTCCAACCATGAAATCTATCATTAATCTTCTGAAGGTGATGTCAAGGGAGACAGGTATAACTAATTGTTGTCAGGAGGGTTGGAAACAATTGTTTACTGTTATTTGTCCCCAAAAATTATCTGCCTGAGTTACAATCTACCATACAGTAAAAGCGGTCGTCTTAAAGAAACTGTCAGTAGTAATTCCTAAATTGTCCCAGTCTTGGACTAGAGTAGTGTTAATTTCAACCCTGGTAATTCTCATTGAGCACTCTGATCCCCAGATCATGCTCACAAACATTAACACAAACACACAATTTTAGAACTGGAACAGTTCCTGAAAATAGTCACACTATTCAAAATATATTTGGCATTTTGGCGTGAAACTTCCTCTTATATAGTTGTAGATCATGTCAAGTCGATATCAAGTAGATATCATTCACTGACATCATCCAGCCTCCGCACTCGGCAGACATAAAACTGCCCAAAATATAGAAATATATATACTATGTCTTTCTTTGAAAAATACATTTCTCACAGAGAACTCAGCATATTACAAACAACATCAGGAAATGTTTAAAGACAAATATTTGTATCGATCCTTATCATATGTGTTATAGTGGGTGGCAAAAACATATTCAATAAGTCAATATGATCATGGTGGAAAAATATATAAATATATATATATGATTTATAGCAAAATATCTGAATGTGATAATCATGAGCCCTGTACAAACATATTTGTATTTCTTTATTATGCTGTTTTGGTCTTTAGAAATATATATTTGACACAGAAAACATCTGTCATACTGACTATAGCCAGGCTCTGTACATCACAGTACAGGTTATCGATTTCTACAAAGGCACACAGTGTGTATTCCATATTAATTTCTCACGTTTTTAAAAGGTCTTCTTCCACATCAGTAAACAGTGCTAGAAATATAAAACCTAGGACATGATAACGTTTATGACAGTGATCTAAACATATTTTTCAATTTATTATGGCACATTCAAATCAATGTTAATAGTTCCTGCTTGTGAATATAACTACAAATATAATAAACTGTGTATACACACTGACCATCACTAGTAAGTGATAAGGATATCATTACCCTGACATCATCCATTGTATTCTTTTGCTGGACGTTTGTCAAACCCTGTGAACCATCAATCAAGTGTACTTGTCAACATAAACCTATCACGCATCTAGCAACACGAGTGTAAAACATCACAAGCGTTAATCATATTCCCTTAGAGAGAAATCTGATTATTAGGAAAAATATCATCCTCCAATTACCTCCCTTTGCATACTGCAATTACCTCCCTTTGCATACTGCAATTACCTCCCTTTGGATGCTGCAATTACCTCCCTTTGTTAAGATGCGTGATAAACAGTATAGTTCACCTGACCACTTCCCTGAGTCAGTATACTCTGTGTTTCCTGGGGCAATAATGCTGAAGATATAACAAGTACTACAGACAAAATGTTTTGTACTGGTAAAGATGCAGAAAACAAGATGATGCTCATAATTCTGCATCAACTGCAGGTGTCATCAAACAAAACAAAGTAAACTACAAGCACTGACTCTTTGAGCAACTGTCTCTATATAATGGAAAAAAAGATTATTATGAATAATGAAAATAGCACTACTTCAACTCAGCACGTGGACCGTGTCAGTCACACCTGGGTATATAGAAAATATTACACTTGCAAAAGCCACAAAGTGTTTCTTGATATTGTACACCACAAACTGTCACTAGAACCCCGCCAAGGGTGTGGATATCATCAGTAATTCACTGCCCAAACTTGAACATGATAATTGCACTTATTTTATCTGTGACTTGAGATCACACGTCATCTTTAACTGTGACACAAGGCCACGTCATGCTGTCGACTGTGACACAAGTCTCAATGTTAACTGCGACTAAATATGGCACGTCTTACCTTCAAATGTGACACAAGATCGCACATCATACCATCAACTATTACACGAGATATCATCTTGCGGTTAACTCTAACACTGAATCGCTCATCATTCTCTCAACTGTGACACAAGAACACACATGCCTTAACCTGCAACATGAGTTCACATCATGTCGTTAAGTCAGACATGAGACGTCCTGTCAATGGGTTATTCAACAGCCAACCAGGAGCAGGAGAAAGAATGGACCACTGTGGTCAGTTGTGACGACTCCTGGTGGGCGTGTATTGTACCCTTCTGGTCCAGTACTAACAGTGACTCATCCTCCACCGATGAATCTGTAAGACTACAACCTGGTCCCCGAGAGAATGGCACTCTCATCTCCAATGGGCATGTCACTGAAAAAACAAAGTCAGCATACATTCAGTGAGAGGCAGTATGGGTAAACAATCTGGAGCTTGCTGCAGTTGGGCCCGTAAGTAGGTAACGGCACTTGGAGAGACCTTAGTACTCCCTGTGACAAACAACTACACTTGGTCCGGTCTAGTAAAGTCATATTTGGCGGTCACGCAAGTTGGAACCAGAACAAAAAAAACGCTTGTCATCGGATATCTGGCAGCAAGTTGGTGCAGTATGGATCCAGCTTAGTACCGTATGCTGGGCCTGATCTCACATATCGCAAGTTGGTGCATGCAAAGGGAGCTGGGAACTAGCTTAGTACCGGAAGTATGCTGGGCCCGATCTCACATATCGCAAGTTGGTGCATGCAAAGGGTGCTGGGATCCAGCTTAGTACCGGAAGTAGCACCTCATAAGACTTACAGTCCCTGTTGCATTGATGATAGAATATATCTTATTAGCTATAAACATGGAAATATTCTCAACACTGGACAGAGCGTGAATCTGTTTCTGTTGCGGTGTGGTTAGACAGACTCACATGGATCCAGGCACTGCGTGTTTCTGCAGCATCTTGCGATGCTGTTTGTGTTCCTGCTCCAGGTTGATGACACATTTCTGGATCTCGGTGACCGTCTGGTAGCACTGCTTCGTGTCCTCGATCACCAGGCGCGGACGCGGCTCATCATTCCCTGAGTACACCTCCTGACAGCCGCACTGCTCTGTAGGCACAGAACACTCACGTCAGGGACAGAACAGTCACTTCAGGGACAGAACACTCACGTCAGGCACAGAACACTCACATCAGGCACAGAACACTCACGTCAGGGACAGAACACTCACGTCAGGGACAGAACACTCACGTCAGGGACAGAACACTCACGTCAGGTCAGGGACAGAACACTCACGTCAGGGACAGAGCACTCACGTCAGGGACAGAGCACTCACATCATGGACAGAACACTAACGTCAGGCACAGGACACTCACGTCAGGGACAGAGCACTCACGTCAGGGACAGAACACTCAACGTCAGGTCAGGGGACAGCACTCACGTTAGGGACAGAGCACTCCGCCAGGGACAGAGCACTCACATCAGGGACAGAACACTAACGCCAGGCACAGGACACTCACGTCAGGGACAGAACACTCACCGCCAGGGACAGAACACTCACGCCAGGGACAGAACACTCACGTCAGGGGACAGAACATTCACACATCTTGGACAGACACACGTCAGGGACAGAACACTCATGTCAGGGACAGAAAACTCATGTCCCTCATCGGGGACAGAACACTCATGTCAGGGACAGAGCACTCCACGTCAGGGAGGGACAGACGGTGAACAGTCACGTCAGGGACAGAACACTCACGTCAGGGGACAGAACACTCATGTCAGGCACAGAACAATCACGTCAGGGACAGAACACAGATGTCAGGGACAGAACACTCGCGTCAGGGACAGAACACTCACGTCAGGGGACAGAACACTCACCTCAGGGACAGAACACTGGCGTCAGGGACAGAGCACTCACATCAGGGACAGAACACTAGCGTCAGGCACAGGACACTCACGTCAGGGACAGAACACTCACGTCAGGGACAGAACACTCACGTCAGGTCAGGGGACAGCACTCTCCGTCAGGGACAGAGCACTCCGTCAGGGGACAGAGCACTCACATCTGGGACAGAACACTAACATCAGGCACAGGACACTCACGTCAGGGACAGAGCACTCACGTCAGGGACAGAACACTCACGTCAGGGACAGAACATTCACGTCAGGGACAGAGCATTCACATCTTGGACAGAACACGTCAGGGACAGAACACTCATGTCAGGGACAGAAAACTCATGTCCCTCATCAGGGGACAGAACACTCACGTCAGGGACAGAGCACTCACGTCAGGGACAGAACACTGATGTCAGGGACAGAACAGTCATGTCAGGGGACAGAACAGTCCACGTCAGGGACAGAACACTCCGTCAGGGACAGAACACTCATGTCAGGCACAGAACAATCACGTCAGAGACAGAACACAGATGTCAGGGACAGAACACTCACGTCAGGGACAGAACACTCACGTCAGGGGACAGAACACTAACATCAGGGACAGAACACTGGCGTCAGGGACAGAACACTCACGTCAGGGACAGAACACTCACGTCAGGGACAGAACACTCACCTCAGGGACAGAATACTCATGTCAGGGCACAGAACACTCAACGTCAGGGACAGAACACGTCAGGGACAGAACACTCACGTCAGGGACAGAACAATCGCGTCAGGGACAGAACACTCCATCAGGGACAGAACACTGATGTCAGGGACAGAACACTCATGTCAGGGACAAAACACTGGCGTCAGGGACAGAACACTCACGTCAGGGACAGAACACTGGCGTCAGGAACAGTACACTCACGTCAGGGACAGAGCGCTCACGTCAGGGACAGAACACTCACGCCAGGGACAGAACACTCCCGTCCAGGTCAGGGACAGCACTCACGTCAGGGACAGAACACTCACGTCAGGGACAGAGCACTCACATCAGGGACAGAACACTGGCGTCAGGCACAGGACACTCACGTCAGGGACAGAGCACTCCACGTCAGGGACAGAACACTCCGTCAGGGACAGAACATTCACGTCAGGGACAGAACATTCACATCTTGGACAGAACTCCGTCAGGGACAGAACACTCATGTCAGGGACAGAAAACTCATGTCCCTCATCAGGGGACAGAACACTCACGTCAAGGACAGAGCACACGTCAGCGACAGAACACTGATGTCAGGGACAGAACAGTCATGTCAGGGACAGAACACTCACGTCAGGGACAGAACACTCACGTCAGGGACAGAACACTCCCATGTCAGGCACAGAACAATCCGCGCCAGAGACAGAACACAGATGTCAGGGACAGAACACTCCGTCAGGGACAGAACACTCACAGGGACAGAACACTCACGTCAGGGACAGAACACTGACGTCAGGGACAGAACACTCACGTCAGGGACAGAACACTCACGTCAGGGACAGAACACTCACGTCAGGGACAGAACACTCACCTCAGGGACAGAACACTCATGTCAGGCACAGAACACTCGTCGGGACAGACAGAACACGTCAGGGACAGAACACTCCACGTCAGGGACAGAACAATCACGTCAGGGACAGAACACTCACGTCAGGGACAGAACACTGACGTCAGGGACAGAACACTGACGTCAGGGACAGAACACTCACGTCAGGGACAGAACACTCACGTCAGGGACAGAACACTCACGTCAGGGACAGAACAATCACGTCAGGACAGAACACAGATGTCAGGGACAGAACACTCACGTCAGGGACAGAACACTCACGTCAGGGACAGAACACTCACATCAGGGACAGAACACTGGCGTCAGGGACAGAACACCGACGTCAGGGACAGAACACTCCGCGTCAGGGACAGAACACTCACCGCCAGGGACAGAACACACGCCAGTCAGGCACAGAACACTCACGTCAGGGACAGAACACGTCAGGGACAGAACACTCACGTCAGGGACAGAACACTCACGTCAGGGACAGAACACTCACGTCAGGGACAGAACACTGACGTCAGGGACAGAACACTCACGTCAGGGACAAAACACTCACGTCAGGGACAGAACACTCACGTCAGGGACAGAACACTCACGCCAGGGACAGAACACTCCACGTCAGGGACAAAACGCTCACGTCAGGGACAGAACACTCACGTCAGGGACAGAACACTCACGTCAGGGGACAGAACACACGTCAGGGACAGAGCACTCACGTCAGGGACAGAGCACTCACGTCATGGACAGAACACTAACATCAGGCACAGGACACTCACGTCAGGGACAGAACACTCACGTCAGGGACAGAACACTCACGTCAGGGACAGAACACTCACGTCAGGGACAGAACATTCACATCTTGGACAGAACAACACGTCAGGGACAGAACACTCACGTCAGGGACAGAACACTGACGTCAGGGACAGAACACTCACGTCAGGGACAGAACACTCGACGTCAGGGACAGAACACTGACGTCAGGGACAGAACACTCACGTCAGGGACAGAACACTCACGTCAGGGACAGAACACTCACGTCAGGGACAGAACACTGACGTCAGGCACAGAACACTGACGTCAGGGACAGAACACTGACGTCAGGGACAGAACACTCACGTCAGGGACAGAACACTCACGTCAGGGACAGAACACTCACGTCAGGGACAGAACACTCACGTCAGGGACAGAACACGTCAGGGACAGAACACTGACGTCAGGGACAGAACACTGACGTCAGGGACAGAACACTGACGTCAGGGACAGAACACTGACGTCAGGGACAGAACACTGACGCCAGGGGACAGAACACTCACGTCAGGGACAGGGACAGAACACTCACGTCAGGGACAGAACACTGACGTCAGGGACAGAACACTGACGTCAGGGACAGAACACTCATGTCGTCAGCGTCAGGGACAGAACACTCACGTCAGGGACAGAACACTGACGTCAGGGACAGAACACTCACGTCAGGGACAGAACACTCGACGTCAGGGACAGAACACTCACGTCAGGGACAGAACACTCACGTCAGGGACAGAACACTCACGTCAGGGACAGAACACTCACGTCAGGGACAGAACACTCACGTTGGGTACAGAACACTCACCTCAGTCACAGAACAGTCACGTCAGGGACAGAACACTCACGTTAGGGACAGAACACTCACGGGACAGAACACTCACGTCAGGGACAGAACACTCACATCAGGCAAGTACTACGTAAGAGAACACTGAGGTAAGGTAACACACAATATATATGTTTCCATTAGAGAGATTTCCTTTAATCCACTGTCAACAGGTGTGCTTGGTGTAGCATGTTTCACGTATCATGTGATCTCATTGCACACGCAGATTGACAACATGTACTTGACAGTCAGCATTTTCTCGGTAGGCTGTAAATAATTACATTCTGGGTTGTTGACATCAATAACAAACCCAAGAATCCACCCCACACTCAACAATATTTCAGCTAAATCACAGCAGTCAGCAGATAATCTGGGCTGGATCAGCGGTGGACACCATGACAACCATGCACTTAGCCTGACAACCTAGTCCTGATAGAACCCATGTACAACAAGCATGGATACTGAAGACCAACTCTAACCCAGATCGTCATGGTTACTGGGAAAAAGTGATGCACAACCAGCCAAGTCACACACCCTGAACAAGGTAACAACAAACTGTAAGGACAAAAAAGTCAACAGATGCTGAAATCAACAAGACAGATGTTAAATTTCAAAGGTGAGCAGTATCAAATATACTAGCACTACTGTTGAAAAAGGCAGACTATAACTGCCAATATTCTGGGTAGTTTCTCAGCTATTAGTTAGCTACACAGGCTATGTTTTTGGTCCTTGTTTTCATACAACTTGATACAACACAATTTTTAAAATGTCAACAAGCAACTAGGTAAACAGATTTTTGAGTGAGTCAGGATTCAACTCAATATTCCAGCAATATCACAGCAGGGGACACCAGAAATAGGCTGCACACATTGTACCAATGTCAGGATTCAAACTCGCCTTTTGGCGCGATGAGCGAAAGCTTTCACCACTAGGCTACCCCGCCACCCCTACATATTTTAACAGAACTTTGGACCATGTCAAAATGCAAAGAATAAATCAAGGTCAGCAAAAAAGAAATAACAAAATGAAAGAACACATGTGTCCAGCCAAACATTAATCCACATTTCACTCCATAGTGGACAGAAATGGATAAGTAGTCCAAAAATAGGCTTCTTGAGACCAACTGTGTTTCACACTGGTGAAACTTCCACTCCATTGCTCCAGTGTTTCTGACTTGATTTTGGAGACTGATGAATGGCAGACATATAGACCACAGTGTAAGCCCAGTTAACTGTCTGTGACATGTACTGAAAATATGTTTACTTAAATATGAAACAGAGGAGAAAAATACACTATAAATTAAGTGAAAACTAAAAAGAAAAGACACACTGGACATGTTAGGAAGACAAGACAACCGACAGAGACAGGCAAGGAAACACCAGCAAGTGAGACACATGCAGACAGGCACAAGCGAAGCATATCTTACCCGGGTCGTCATCCTGCATGCTATCTGTGAATGTCAAGCATCGCATGCATTATAGCACATCGGGGGGGAGATGCACAGATCATATTTTCCTGAACACCACTGACATCAAACAAAGTAAGTCCTCCTCTGCTACTACACTAAGCGCCTATATCTTTCTGTATAAGCAAATGTACCCTCAAAAAACACCTGAGGCCTAAAAAACGAAATGGTTTGGTTCTGATTACCAGACCAACCCTTGAATTATGGTGCCGACCCTATTTTTTAGTGGTACAAATATAATCAGCTTTCAGATACCATTGTTTTTTCCCGGCACTGACGGACATCAGTCATTCTGATAGAGAAAGTCGACATGACGTCCGCAAGCTTGATTGAAGAAACAATTACACATTAATAAATCTGTTATTAGTTTGTACTTTACTTCTTAAAAAAAAAGGTAAAACACCCCATAAAATCACACCTACCTTACCTAAATTTTAAAGAGGTGTAATCAGAACCACCACATTTGTTTGATTTGGTCTGATGGAAATATAGGAGAAACCTAACAGGAATGTGGAACAGCTTAAATGGATATTCATGTGTTGGTTCCTATATAGACTTGTGTGGTTCAAATTTCAACATCGCACAGTATGTCAAGTCTAACCATAGCGTCGTCCTTCATAACACGCATACTGCAGAACGAATCCAACAATAGCTATCTGGGCACATTTGTTTATACAGAGAGACACTTGTGGTATATTTGTACCTGTGCCCCCAACATTATCAATGGTATTAGTAAATGTGAGATTGTTAGACCAAGTACAGCAGGATAGATCCTCATATATCACATGCAGCTGGTTGTTAGTTCATGCCATGTCATATCCCTGGGGTTAGTAAAAGTCAAACATCTGTCTTCCATCTCAAGGCAGTGTCAGACACATGCTCTCTATCTCACGGCAATATCAGACACATGCCCTCCATCTTGTAACAAGGTCAGACACATGCCCTCCATTTCATGACAAGGTCAGACACATGCCCTCTATCTCACGGCAAGGTCAGACACATGTTCTCTATCTCACGGCAATATGAGGCACATGTCAGCAAGGTCACACATTCTCTATCTCACGGCAATATGAGGCACATGCCCTCTATCTCCACGGCAAGGTCAGACACATGTTCTCTATCTCCACGGCAATAGACACATGCCCTCTATCTCACAGCAAGGTCAGACAATATCACAGCAAGGTCAGACACATGCCCTCTATCTCACGGCAATATGAGGCACATGCCCTCTATCTCACGGCAAGGTCAGACACATGCCCTCTATCTCACGGCAATATGAGGCACATGCCCTCTATCTCACAGCAAGGTCAGACACATGCTCTCCATCTCATGACAAGGTCAGACACATGCCCTCTATCTCACGACAAGGTCAGACACATGTTCTCCATCTCATAACAATATCAGACATATGCCCTCCATCTCATGGCAATGTCAGACAATGACCTCCACCTTGTGACAAGGTCAGTCACATGACAAATAAGAGACTGGCAGTCTACTACAGACGTTTGTTTCCTGGAACCTTCGTCTGCTATCCTGATGATGTAAGGTGCAGTAGAACTTGACATTTCAGAATTTAAGAGCATAATTGTTTCCTTGTGTAGCTCAGCTGATCATCACAACAAGCAGTTTGCTGACAAGAAAGGTATGGAGAGAGACTATTATGCAACTAGTCTCACAAGTATACAGAGTACAAGATGTCATCTCAGCAGGAACTGATTCTACAGAAGAAGACTCTCAAGTGTCCACTCCTATATATCACAAACCTACCTAGCACAGAGTCCAGTTTGTCCATGTGGCCAAGGAAGAGGGAGTGTATCTTCTCCACCTCCCTGTCTGAGTCGATGTCCAGCTGGATGTCTGTGACGGGCAGTCCCCCGGACACTGGGCAGCACCCCCGGGCAGTCAGGTCGGCCTCCTTACAGCTGCAGACAAGCAGGACAGACAGTAGCAGTGATATCAAGTCCATGCACTGTATGATGTACACTAGTGGAATGTCAAGATTTATTGGGGTCTGAATTTAATAGCTTAGGAACATTGGTAATCCTATAAGCACAATTTTCAACAAACTGAGATATGTGTTTGCCTTCAGATCTGAATGTATTTTAGCTTTCAGCAAATCTGCACTTGTTTGTACCTGTTGCAGTTATTATTACTAAAATAAGAATAAAATGTTTTGATATGGATGGAAAAGGAAAAGACCTGTCAATTACAACAGGTCTATGACTGTTCGACCTGTCTATCTCCCCACCTTGTCATTCCACCTGGAACAGCCCCACATGTCTATGGTGTCAGGGCAAAGGATTCACCCTTGTTTTTGTTGGTCAATGTTAGGTTATGGGAAGGCCAACAGTCTTACAGCTACAACTTGCATGTCAGTGTTGGGGGCTACGACTTCCTGTTAATGGCAGTTCTATCTGTCTCAGGGATATGATGTTAAGGTTAATGGCGTTCTCCCAACTGTGTTAGAGCTACAACTTGCAGGTTATGGGAGTTTCAACTGTCTTAGCGCCATGATTAGAGCTACAACTGGCTTAGTTCTTAGAGTTATTGGTCAACTCTCCACGAGGAACAGATTATGTCTTGATCTGCCAATATTTGGATAAAGCCACCTAACTCACCACAGCCAATGTCCGTTGATGAAGGCAGCAGGGTGGTACACGTTCAGCCGGTTCTTGTTGGTGTTGCACACCTTGGTGAGGATATCCAGCCTGCAATAGGGACACAGGTAAAACACTGCCAGAGCTACATGTTCAGCAGTACTTGGATCCTTATTAACATTCTAAATGTAGACATTATGTAGGTCATAGTTAATAAATGGAACATACCACTCCTTCTCTTCCACACAGTTGTTGGCCTGGATGTAGAGAGCCCTGGACGGCTGGACCACTTGGAACATCTGAAATACACAATAGAGACAGTCACAGATAGACATAGACACACACACACACACACACACACACAGATAGACACAGTCATAGACAGACTCACAGTCTCAGATAGACAGTCATAGATACACACACACATAGATAGACAGTCATAGATACACACACACACAGATAGACAGTCATAGATACACACACAGATAGACAGTCATAGATACACACACACACAGATAGACAGTCATAGATACACACACACACACATATAGACAGTCATAGATACACACACAGATAGACAGTCATTAGATACACACACACAGATAGACAGTCATAGATACACACACACACACACACACACACAGACAGTCATAAGATACACACACAGATAGACAGTCATAAGATACACACACACACCTATAGACAGTCATAAGATAAACACACACAGATAGACAGTCATAAGATACACACACAGACTGACAGTCATAGATACACACACAGATAGACAGTCATAGATACACACACAGATAGACAGTCATAGATATACACACACACACACAGATAGACAGTCATAGATACACACACAGACATAGATACACACACACACAGATATAGACAGTCATAGACACACACAAACAGATAGACATAGACACACACACAGATAGACATAGACACACACAGATAGACAGTCATAGACATACACACACACACACAGTGTGTAATAATGTTCTTCAATCAAGACCCACAAGGTCACTACTTACATAGTTCATTTTGAAGGAATTCTCTTGAAGTCGTTCCACAGCTAGTATATCTTCTATTGGAATACTACACAGTGGCTTCTCGGCTGTCAAAAACATACATAGGTTAAACAGGCTTCTCTTCTGTCATATCTACACAAACAATTAACATCTCTATCTGCTGTCAATCAAAATCATCATAACCCTGGAAGACACCACCAGAATGATGGAAACAAATTGCTAACAGTTATCATAAAATAAACATGTAATTTTTAAAGTAAAATTGATATTTTATACTTATCCTGACTCATGATCTTTGCTTATCTCCCTTTCCCTTTCGAATGGTAGTGGAACACTTGAATCCCTTGAAGTTCCCGAAGCGGACGTACAATACTCACCCACGAGTTACCTACCTTGCCCTTTCCCACATAAACCATATCATGTGACATGTCCATACTTGTCACTCTCTCCTGATTTCCAGCCCATGCACTTGGATCTGCTGTGAAATCTCAAGTGTATCTTCAGCGGGGAGGTTGGGAGGGCTTCTCGTCATGAGTCAGGATCCTATTCTTCCAACTTCCGTTATAACTTGGGGGTCCACTTTCTTGTCTTACTTCCTTCTCAGACAAGTTGAATCATGTTGATACATGTGGTTACAGATAAACTAGTGTCTCCTATTACTAGATATCTTATAACAACCCATAGATTATGATAAGATCTTTATCATAAATGAGTTCGCGACCCCTTCATGTACAGGTAAGGTTATTACCCCTACAGGATCTTTAATCACTCAGGAGAGGTCAAATTGGTGAATGCCTGAGGCGTCTTCAGTGGCTATGTGTCGAGGAGGTAGTGGTTGGCAAAAGACTGTGTCCGACTTCCAAAGCATCCCTCCATAATTGTTGGTATAGAACAATTTCCATGCAGAGCTAATGTTGATGCCAGTGCTCTGACTTCGTGTGGGTTGGAAGCTCTAGGAGGTTCTAGTCCTGCTGCTTTATAGGCTCTCAATATAACGGCTCTCATCCAGAACGATATGGTCGTTCTTGAGACTTCTGCTGAAGTCTGTGTTGATATTGGGATGAACAGGCGCTTGAATTTTGTCTCCTCGTTTCAGTCTTTTGAAGATATATCTTCAGGGTTCTGAATGGACACAAGGATAAGTCCTTTATATCCTGTGGACCAAGGACTGTAGACAGTGCTGAGTGGAGTGGAACTGTCTATCTGGTTGACCATCTAAGTCCCCATCTAAGTCCTAGATGAACTGCGTTATTTTGCCCTCTGTCGAAAGTAGTTCGACCAAAGTCCAACTCATGTATCTCCGATATGCAAGCTGCTGTATGGCTAAGCGTAAGCAAGAACAACGCGTTTTCTGTGTCAGCAGCTCGAGTGTAATCTGATCTAGTGGTTCAGTAGACATCACTGGTAAGATGGCCTTTAGAATTACATTTAGATCCCAAGCTTGGAGCTCTGATTTTTTGCTGGTCCTCCAGCTTCAAAGATCTCAGCAGAGCAAGTAATTCTGGTACTTTCGTCAACTTGATGCCTGTTTTCATAGTAATCACTGTACTGATGCTTGGCGAGGTATGTAGATAGTGTCGAACCCTTCAGGTGTCTGGTCTGTTTAAGATGACACAGATATTCGCCACTTGAGGATGAGTGGCTATCATCGCAGTGAAGCCTTTCCGCCTTGCATAAGTGTCAAACTTTAGCCATTTGTCGTCATATTGGTTTGCAGTCGATCTGCGTAGCGCTAGTGTTACTGCATTGGCTGCCTTATGGAGTATCCTCTTTTCTTCAAGCATGTTTTGATACTGTCCACCGCGTGCTTAACTGGAACACTGTTGGGTTTCTGTGGACTTGCTTGGTGTGTGGATGTATTAGTAGGTTCGGACATTCTGGTAATTTGATTACTGGGTTTCGAGATCTCCCTATTAGGTCTGGGGGAACCATGCTCTCGCTGGCCAGTAAAGGCGCGACCAAAGTCAGTTGTAGCGTCTTGAGTCTGTTTGATCTTGAACAGTACTTTTGGCAGTAATATCGGGGGTGGAAAAGCGTAGCCGTTTAATCCTTCCCACGACATGCTCAGTGCATCTGTTGCCCAAGCTTGAGGATCTGGAACTGGTGAGACAAACGTCTCTAGTTGTTTGTTGAACCCGTGGTAAACACAGGTCTATGCAAGGGGATCCTATCTCCCTTATGTTCGAGAAACGCTTCCTGTGTTATCTGGAACAACTGGACTGTGAGCTGCAGTAGGCTTGGAGACCTTGTGGTTTCCCGCCGGTTTATATGGAGAAACGCTACTGTAGAGTTGTCCGTGTGTATCATCAACATTTTGTTGTTCAGCAAGCTCGACCATAGTTGTAAGGCGTTGATCACTGCTTTCATCTCTAGCAGATTGATGTGCAGTTTCTGTTCTATTTTGGACCACTTTCCCGAGGCTACTTGATCATTGAGATGTGCACCCAATCCGTGCATCGAGGCATCTGCGCAGAGATGCATGTCGAAGGCGGCTCTTGTAAATAGGTCCCTTCATGTAAGTTTTCGACCTGTGTGTCCACCACAGTAGATATCTCCTGAGGTTTTCCGGCAGCAAGATAGGGTTGGCGGCTGTCTAAATGTTTTATCAGGAACCGTTGCAGCGGTCTTAGTTGTAACCTTCCTGTGCGCCAGTCAAGTCCTCCTCCGAGGTTAGCAGACCGAGTAGCACTTTTGCCATGATCATAGTGTTAGCGAAGAGATGACCTGCTGGAGGAATCACGCGGTTTGTATCTTGACCCAGCGATCCCTCTGGGACGGCAATCCGATTCTGTGTGGTGATAAACCTTATTCCCAGGAATTGTAGGTCTTGTTTTGGTTCCAACTCTGACTTCATCAGGTTCAACAACCATCCTAGTTGAGTGAGCAACTTGATTGTGAAGTTCAGTTGTCGTTTGAGGATACTGGCATCTTTAGGTGAACCTGAATTCGTCATCCAAGTAGAAGCGCATTTCAGCGTAGGACCTCGATGATGTAGGTATGCGAAAATAGGCTTGGTTATTCGTGTGAATAGCCACGGAGCCGAAGATATTCCAAACGGTAGGACTTTACATTGGAAGTGCTGCCCTCTGAATAGGAATCGTAGATACCTTCTTGATTCCTGATGTATCGGGATATGAAGGTATGCATCCTGCAAGTCTATGCTGGCCATGTAATCTGCTGGACGGATGAGAGGTTTGAGTTGAGGCAGGTGGATCATTCTGAACCCGTCTGGTTTCAGTAAAGTAGTCTTTGTTGAATTTCGCGCATGTTGTAAATCAGTCTGAACTTCTCCTTGGAGTTCTTTTTTGGGTACTAGAAAAATTGGGGAATAGAAGCCTGGAGTGAAACGCCTCGATCTATTATCTCCACCGCATATTTTTCCAGTAATGCGTTTATGGCTTCTTCTGGTTTGACTGCCTGTTCCTCAGCATAATTGAAGACCATCGGGCTGAGGATTTGGCGGAGGTGTAGCTTTTAGTTGTACTTTGTAACCTTCTCTTAGTACTCTAGTATCCCCCCAATTTTTCCAGTACCCTTGTAGACGTCCACCCACTGTTGATAGTTTTACAGGAACGGCTGGGGGTGTAAGACTCCAGTCGTTTCGAGGCGATATCAACGTCTAGTGCCTCTGGAAGCTCTGGGGAGCGGCCTCTCCCTGAGTTTCCTCTGTAATTTCCGGATGGGCAGCTAAAAGATTCTTTACTGCCTTTGAAGCTAGCGTACTTTTGTCCTTAGCTTTCTGTATTCCGAATACTTGGACTTGTTGTTATACTTCTGAGAGGTATGGTGGATGATGTTAGCCAGAGTATCTATGGTTCTAATCATCATCACCTCTCTGTTATCATGCGCGAAGCTTCCTTAGCTGCATCGCCTATTAGACCTCCAAATATGTCCCGCAGATATTGATGTGAGATGGTCCGACAAAAAGAATTGATCCTTCTTTTGTGTAACGAGGGCTGAGTATATCATCTTATCCTCTTCCGAAGTTGAATTCTGGAATTTATTTATCAATGATTCATTGATAGCTCTGGATCTGGCCAGCCAAAAGAAGGATCTCTTTGTGGCAGTATCCAACTGCGATAGCTTTTTGTCTTCCACTTTATACATCTTATTCCGGGCATCATTCACCAGTTTGATCATATCATCCCAATCCGGCGCCTTCACAAATGGATCCATATGGTGTAAGGGGAATCTCCTCTTATTAAATGATGGTAGTTGCTGACTCTGATCCTTCAAAGCCTTCGCGATAGGCTGTGCGAAGGTTGGAGGGTACCTTGGATATAGGTTCTATCGGAGGGATTGTGAGGGGGTCGAAGTCATCATTGCGCATCATATAAGTGTAGATATCATCCTTCTCCTTAGAAGGAGACTCCAGGTTCAACCCATTAGCAATCCATGCTGTTACTTCTGAGTCTGGGAAGACGAAGTCCGTTTGCAAATCCTCCGTGTGCGAACTTAACTCCCTTCTCGAACCTTCATCATCGTTTGTCGAGCTTGTATCTATGGATACCTCTCTTCGCGAACCTTTATGAGGTGCGCTATCTCTTCGCGAACGTCTATCATAGGGTGAACTCCTGTGAGAGTCTTCTCCTCACTCTAACCACTAGCTTGAGGTGAGTGGCTTAAAGCAAACGCCTGTAAAGGCTGCGATCTCTCTCCCAGAGAGGCTAGGTGTAGGAGCAGGATCCTTCTCGATGTTTCGAACGCTAAGGGTTAGCGGACGTAGATAGAGTAGGTAAGTCATCTCTATCATCCTCCAATGTGTCAAAGTCAAAGTCAAATATGTTTATTTGTATGTAAGGCCACCGCCCATATACAGCGTGTTACAAAGAAGGTTCTTATTTAGGAGGATAACAATTGTTTTCTCAACATAATAGCATGATGGATATACAGTCATAATCTTTTAAAATGGAGACATCGTGATTAGGAAACAATTTTGTAAAATGCTGCATTATCACTTCTGATTGTAATACAGTTCTGGAGATAATCAGAACGGATTTTATCATAGGCTGGACATTCAAGAAGAAAATGTAATTCGCCTTCAATGCCTTTTACAAAATGGACATGATCTATAATTTCTATCAATGGATAGTCTTCTTCCTTCATTTACTTTTAAATCTAATAGCCCCAATTTTAAATTTTACAAGTAGCAGTCTCAGATTCTTTGTAGTCACGAGGGATAAATATCTTTCTGGTTCTAAAAGGGACTTAAACTGTCTGTAAAATCAAAACGGGAGCTTTCTTCTAACCTCTCGAGTGCCATTCTTGTTGAAAAATACATATACAGCTTATCTCTAAACTGGTTCAGGAAAACATTGACATTACCTCGCCTTGGTTTAACCAGACGATACCAAAACCTTTAGAACAAAGAAGGTTCCTTATATGGGGCGTTTCCAAGTTTCTTTGCCCGCTACTGTCTAAATGAAGAAGCATATTGTAGGAAATTTTACGGAGACGGTGATCATGCATTTGTACTATCTTTAGCCAGTATTTTAAGCATCTAATTTGAGCATTAATGAAAACTGGAAATCTCCCACATATTCCATATACCATGTCGTTAGGGGTAGATTGTGTAGCATCCTAAAAATTTCTTGCAGGCCAGTAAGTGTATCTTTCAAGCGCTTGGAAAGGTTGGAAGCCCCACATTTCGAACCATTACAAAAGAATAGGCTGAATTTGTACATCAAATCATTTGAAAAAACGTTGTGGGTAAGGAAACCAACGTTGTTATAAAGGGACATGAGGTATAATAGTGCTTTCTTAGCTCTGAGAGCTAAATCTGCAGCACAATGTGTCCATTTCATAGTAAAAGAAATACTTTTACACCGAGGTATTTATAATGATTTATGACATTAACGGGTTTAGAATTAAAACACCACTTTTCCTTGAAGAGAGGGGCCACCTTTTCTAAATACAACAATATTAGTCTTTTCAAGTTTTACCGATAGCTTACCATTCTGAAGAATATCTTTCTAGTATGTTTAGTTGGTTTTGTAACCCAATAATTGAGGTAGATACTAGAATTACATCGTCTGCAAAAGTAACATAAATATTTCAATAATGTCGAGGGAAATAACTGGACACCATGCTTACCTTGCAGCGAAATATCATTATATAATTCGTTTATGAAGAAAGAGAACAGGATAGGGCTCATAATACATCCTTGTCTTAAACCGACTGGACAATCAAAAAATCAGATAAACCACCTTGACTCTGCGCACACATGATTTGATATTTGAATACAATGACGTAAGCATGGTGTACATTTTGCCTCCCAGGCCAGCATTTCTAAAGACAAAACCATAGTTTGGAGCGATCAACTGAGTTGAGCATGCCTTTTAAAATCAACAAATGCAACATACAATTTAGATTTGCGTCGAGATAAACATTTATGAATAATTGCATATATGGTGAAAATATGGTCTGATGTGGAATAAGACTTCCTGAATCCTGCTTGACATTCGGAATTTTATCGTGCATGTTTGCCCACAGTGTAAGTCTATTATTGAGAATAGATGTAAAAGCTTTTACCTAAAATACTCATTAATGATATACCTCTGTAGTTGTCTGGGTTGTTTACATCTCCCTTTTTATGAACTGGGACAATAATTGAAGTGACCAGACTTCTGGAAATAGCCATCATTGAATATTTTGTTAAGACATTTACTAAGAAATGGCAGAATTTCAGAACTTGAACATTTTCAACATTTCCACAGAACCAGATCGAGACCAGGTGATTTACCACATTTAAGACTATTAATGGCATTCAAAATTTCACTGTCTGTAATATGGCAGTCTAGCACCTGTCTGTCTATGTCATCAGTATAGGGGTGAGTCATCTATAGAGTTACCTTCATTCTGGATAATCTGAAAGATATTGTTATTCTTAAAGACTGACTTAAAATGGACAAAAGCCATTCTGATTTTTGATATCTGATTACTGGGGCCTGATTTTTTTGTCTGAGTGAGCAGACTTCGTTTCCAGAAAAGGGATGGGTTATGTAAAGAGTCGTTTAATTTTTCTAAGGTTGTTTTTGCATTGGTTTATTTTTGAATTGTCTACAAAAAGCTTTATATTTATTTCGTTCCCTACAGTATAAGGCTTCGGTTGTTATCAGAGCGATTACATCTAAATCTTCTATGTGCTTTTCTAGCACGTTGTTTAGCTGCTCTACACTCTTTGTTAAGTCTAACTTTAGGCTTCCTATCAAGGTTAAGTCGTCTTCCTCATGCACTGTGTGGCCCTAAAATAATTTTGACAAAGTCGCATTGCTAGTTCTATATCGATATCTAACGCATCGGTGATTACATCATGCAACAGAGATAGTTTAAGGTCGCCAAGATGGATAAAAATTGTATCCTTAAAGTGAATCATTCCACACAACTTTCTCTTCTAGATTAGAAGGATTTCTAGTGGAGAGTGTACATGCGAGAAATTACAGGTCAGTTCTAATGGAGTGATCAGACTCAGATCGATTAAGCCAATGTTTAGTTTCTCAATAAACTGAAAGAAGGATGGAGTGCAAATAAAATAATCATTGGCTGCAACCCTGCTGGCCTATATATGTACATTCCCCCTTCCATGTCATAGGCAACTCTTCCATTTACAATATAAAGTTGTAGAGCATAGCAAAGGTCAAGAAGTATCGCCCAAATTTATTAATCACCTTGTCATGTGACTTCGGTTTGACACATTGACGTAATCATGGCAGAGAGTGTCTCTCTGCATGTATTCAGCACTCCGTGCATCAAGTTCAACAGGAACATTATTCCTTCTCCTGTTCTCGTTCATGTCACCACAAAGAACTATATGCGAGTCCTGGAGATCAGTCAGATTTTCTAAGACGAAAGTCTCAATCTGATTTATGTGACAATCAGTGTTATGTCTAGTGTAATATGACGAATCCGTCTGGTGGGATATATGTGCATAACAAAGCTATGTCCCTATTAAGTGAAAAGCTTCTTTCTTTAGTTTTATGCAAAGTAGATTATCAACATTCGTGTTGATTATTTTGGTAAATCGGGGAAAGTGATTGATGGATACAAACACATATGCCACCAGACAAGCGACCATGTTCGATAGCTTTACAGCTGGACTGTAGTAAATATCATAGCCATCAAGCCACTGTGGATTTACTAGTGTACTAACAAAAGGTCTCAATAAGACAAAGTATCTTGAAGTTACTTAAATAGGCTTTAAAATCATTATTACCAAGTTTACTAGACAGGCCATTTATGTTCCAACTTAGTGTAGAAAAGACAGAAATATCTGTGAGGCTGTGTAGAAGATCCCTGTGAAATCTGGTCTGGGCTTTTGGCCATTGTCCTATTGGCTGGTTCCAGCTTCTAGCCCATTGATACCACTTTCTCCCTGGCGCAGAGAAATGTCCACTCCTACGGGATGTAGAAGGCTGAATCGCGTTTGGTAACAAGGCTACCATTTTGGAAGTCAGTGTCTTTTTATGACAGAGTCCTCCCACTGTGGAACCCTTCGCGAAGGCGAACGTTCTCGAGCGTCACCTTGAGGTGTAGATTCTTGTTGGTGAATTGAGTCATAAATTCCCCTGGATCGGAAGTTCTGCATGGGTTGACACTGCTGCGATGTAGATGAAGCGTTCGCCATGAGCAGCTGATGGGTATGTGCCTCAACTTCAATCCGGGAGTATGAGGGGTATTATGTCGAACAGCTGTCCTGCATTGTGCCTGTAGTAGGGGACGACCTGCAGTAGTGGTAGAGGTTGATTAGCGGCCGCTGATCTCATAGATACTTCTGGTAGAAGTAATGAGGGTTCGTTAAAGGCGATCTATCTCGTGAGGCTGTACAATCTCTTCGTTGAAAGATTTCTGGTGCATTAGCTGAGCTACAGCGTAGCTCTTTGCCTTCAGGTCTGGTAACCGTGAGACTTCTTCTGCGCGTTGAAGAAGAGAATGGACGTCTTTTCTTAGTCTGTGGCGGCGTTGATAGAGAAGTAGAGGCGATCTCTTCCTGGCCCCTTACCAGCAGACTGCCCCATAACGCGCTTTTCGACATAGCACCAGCATTATGAACATGGGCATTAGCAAGCAACATATACGGTTTGTAGGCTGATCTGCAGTATTATCAGGAATGACTTGAGGCGCCTTTCTCACCACGATCCATGAATGCGTCTATAAATATACGACAAATATTGATTAAACTGAAGATTTGCTAACAGTTATCATAAAATAAACATAACAATATTGAGCATAAATAGATTCACCAGGGAGTGAGTATGTTCCTAGAAGGCGAGAACAAGTCTCTACAAGGAGATATACACGATAATCAGGTGAAAGTACTGTTATATTACTGTCCAGGAGAATCTTGCCCGACCATAGCAAAGCTACAGAAATTATAGTAACAACTGACGGCTTTGTAGGGCTGGGATGCTTAGTTTATACAGTACAAGTAATTCCTTGTTACAAAATCATTGTGCTGTTGGGATTTATCTCATCCCACTAACATCTGATATTTTCAGTAATGAGAATATCCATATCTTGAGTGTGCCTACCCTTCCTTGAGTGCTATTGGAGCTTCTATGTTCCTTGAATAGGCCCCGGTCCTAGAGGAGACGATGTCCAGGAACTGAAACAGGGATGGCATCGGTAGTTGATTTAATAACAAGGAACTGTAACCATGGTGACTTGTGTGCCCAAACATACCAACATAACATCAAGGAATCGATACCAAGGAAATATATTATGATACTACAGATTAGTATAATAATCAGAAAGTGTCACCATGGTAACAAGTAAATTATCAACATGACACTTTTTAAAATGAATCCCACAATGGAAGTTGTGTCTGTGTGCATTTCTATGAAAACAGACTTGCATCCGACTGACATCATCCAAGTAACAATACAGTCAGTGTAATGAAAATACTGTACATACAAACAAAACAGACTTGCATCACGTGGATATCATCCATGTAACAATACAGTCAGTGTAATGAAGATACTGTCAATGCAACCATTTCCCCTACATAGATCCCTGTACATCTAAAGCTGTGTAACACCCACCATCCTGACAGCATCCATGTGTGTGTCCTCGGACAGACAGTCGAACACGGGCACCATGTACTCCTCCTTCAGGTTGAAAGGCACCTGGAGACACACAACACAGATATCCATAATATCCGTCTGATTAGTCAACTCTCCTCCATCTCACATCAGGTATGTATTAGTATTCTATGCTCTTCTTGTGTTGTAATAGTTTTAGTTGGTGTGAACTGACAGGGTATGCTGAAGACATGTTATTACTCACTGAGTTTGAGCTGATGAGGTTGACTAGACCTTGGATGACCTTGGACACCAATGTGAGGGTTCGATGTACCAGCATGTCCTGAAATATTGGGTACATGTGTTACAGAAAGTCTAACATATGTATATCACCAATCATCATCAAGGTACATGTGTTACAGAAAGTCTAACATATGTATATCACCAATCATCATCATCATCATCATCATCATCACAAACACCACCATCACCATCGACATCAACATCATCGAAACACCACCATCATCATCATCATCACAAACACCACCATCACCATCGACATCAACATCATCGAAACACCACCATCATCATCATCATCATCACAAACACCACCATCACCATCATCATCACAAACACCACCATCACCATCATCACAAACACCACCATCACCACCACCATCATCACCATCACCACCACCACCACAATCCTCGCTGCTCTGATCTAAATATAGGTTGTGTGATGGCAATGTGACGTGATGCTCAACCTATATTCACCATCATTTAGACACCGACACAACATGACAGCATGCCAACTCACCGCGGTGTCTGACCGTAGGTCAAACAGCTTGGGTCCCAGAATGGCAGGCGCGAAGAATCGGAGGAAGACAAAGCTGCTGACCACCCTGTACTTGATGGTCGGACTTCCTGGAAACACAGGTGACCACTTCAGAAAGTGACTGAGTAGGTGTTTCATTATAGTGTTCACACTGTGTTCAGTGTGTTCACACTGATTTGCCTCACTGAGAATTTCAAGAGTGAGGTGTTCAGATTCACCAGGACAATTTTGTTTGCCTTCCCAAGCTATCACTGCCAATGATATCACTTACAACCAGTGCAAGATATCACCCCCAAGATGAACCTACATGACATAACTTATAATCAGTGCTCGATATCACCTAAAATAAGTGCTTTATATCGCCTACAGTCAGTTCTTGATGTCACCTGAAGAATATAACCTACAATCGGTGCTTGATATCACCTACAGTCAGTTCTTGATATCACCTACATGACATCCCCTATAACCGGCACTTGATTTCACCTAGTCAGTTCTTGATATCACCTACATGACATCCCCTATAATCGGTGCTTGATATCACCTACAGTCAGTTCTTGATATCACCTACATGACATCCCCTATAATCGGCGCTTGATATCACCTACAATCAGTTCTTGATATCACCAAGTGACATCCCTTACAATCAGTGCTTGATGTCACCTTCACAATATCACCTACCATCATAGTGCGTCATTGCGGCCTCCTTCACGGAGTGGAACACCTCCCTCATGATAGTGGGACACACCAGCGCTGACCCAGTGATGGCCTCGACAATGGACACCACGTAGCCCTTCAGGTTACCCTGCAGGACATAAACACATCTACTGTTACAATCAACGGAGAGAACCAGAGCCTGCATCATGCACACCTGAATGTATGAAACTTTCACACAAAAACTTAGATAACCCTGTAGAGGTTTCCAATTCTTTGAAGAGAATCGTCCTTGGGGTACATATATGCATTTTCTGCGGCTGAAAATGTCATGTGACAGTTGTATCAATGTTTTAATAAAATATTGTACAATAAATAAAAATGGCCCCCACCACGTGGAGTTACCTCCCTGACATGCATGCGTAGCCAACCAGGTAAGCACCTAAGCCCGTATCATCATTCCTTCTGCTGAACAAATCAGTGAACAGAAATGCGAGGAGGTGGGCGGCCCTACCCCAAGGACAATTCTCTTCAAAGAATTGGAAACCTCTACAGGTTTATCTAATTCTTTTTCATAGAGATCGTCCTTGCTGTACATATATGCATTAACACAGATTCCAAAAAATCGGAGACCAGGGAGGAGGGAATTCTGTCACAGTACAAATAAATAGCGATCTCGTAATTAGAAAAAGTTACTCACGCCATAACACTCACCTGTCACGTGTCCACGAAGCTTTCGCGAGAGGCATTATGGGAGGTGACCCGACAGGGAGAAAACATACTGAGGACCGACCTCAACATGTTAAGCATGACAACACATAATACAGTGTGTAAACAAACACCGCCCACTGCGTGAAAACTCTATAGAGAGCACCGTAACTCACAACCGAATATCTCAATCGAGCAATTGAAAGTTGGCAAGAATCAACAGTGGATGTGTCAATTAAACAACAATTGAACACAGCATCCTAAAACCAAATAACCAAGACTCACACTGGAGAGAACAGAACGGCCAAAGTGTGCTCGATCACGGGAATGTGTATCCAGCTGATAGTGCCATATAAAAGTGCTAGGCCAGCTCCAAAGAGCAGCAGAGCAAATCTCTTCGATGGGCAGTGCCGCTGCAAAAGCTTTTGAAGTGGTGACTGCACTGACCGAGTGAGCCTTCAACCCCTCATGGGGAGGCTTTCCCTTAGCCTTATACACAGCACAAATGACCGACACAAGCCAGCGAGAAAGTGTTTGCTGGCAGGAGCCTCAGCCTTCCCGGCACCATAACAGCAGAACAGATGGGTATCTGTACGGATCCCTTGTGTTCGTTTGATAAAGACCTTGAGGGTCTTACGGACATCCAGCGGATGAGTGCTTGTTGCAGAGGTCCCCAATGTGGAAGGCTAGGCAAGAGTAAGAAGTTTGATAGGAGCTGTCACATGGAAAGCGTGATTGACCTTCGGACGGTAACTATCCGGGAGGCGCTTACTGATGCGATCTGGATGGAACACACTCAGTGCCGGGTCTGCAGACATGGCATGTAAATCACCGACCCTTCTCCCAGATGTCACCGCCACCAGAAACACAGCCTTCCAAGTAAACAGCTGAACGGAAATAGTCGATAGACATGAGAAAGTAGGACCGGACAGCCAATCTAGCACGATTGACAAATCCAAAGGTGGGCTGGTATGCCTGAGAGCAGGTCAAACCTGATCCACGCCAGCTAGGAAGCGCTGCATAAAAGTGTGCTGCCCCAGGACAGCACAATCGACAGGGGTGTGAAAGGTGGAAATAGCGGTGGAGTAGCCACGAAGACTGCAGAAACTCCAAAACACGGATTAAATCCGCAGAAAAGGGATCTGCAATTCCCCTATCTGAACACCAGCGCGCATATCTATCCTCGTACTTAACGTTTGTCGAATCCCGCCTCGAAGCCGGAATTGTTTGTGCAACTGCTGCAGGAATTCCGCGTGCCTCGAGGCTAGACCTGACAGAGGCCAAGCCACCCACTGAATCCGTGGATTGGGGTGCGGCGCACCGTTCTGAGTGAGAATGTCTCGTCGTAAGGGTAATAGAACAGGAGGCTGAGCCAGAAACCTGAGAATTACCAGAAACCAGCTCTGTGATGGCCAAAGCGGTGCCAGAAGCACAAGTAGCCGAGCTGGCTTGGTGGACAGCTGGGAGAGGACCCGGGGAATGAGTGGTAGAGGCGGAAATGCCCACAGCACTTTGCCCGTCCAATCCAGCAGGAAGGCGTCGGAAGCCAACACCCTCTGGTTCGGTATTTGAAAGTAGAGCACGGGTATCTAATTCGTCCCGCCTGACGCAAACAGATGCACCTGGAACGACCCGTACAACTGGGAGATAACTCCGAATATCTGCCGATCAAGCATCCACTCATGCCGGGCCAGGATACGGCGAGAGAGCGTGTCTGCTTCGCATGTTCTCTAGCCCCGGGAGATAGACAGGAATCACCTGACAGTCACACTGGTCACACCAAAGGAGAAACTCCCACGTCTCCCAAAGGAGCGTTAGGGACACCATGCTGCCTTGCTTCAGGATGTACGACATGGCCGTACGGTTGTCTAACTGAAGACTAACCACCTGGCCCTGAACATGCTCCCGGAAGCGCTAGAAAACCAACTGCAGACATTGATGAGTAGGTGGGCTTCGGATTCGGACCAGCTTCCGGACACCGACAGACTGCCCAGAACACACACCCCCAGCCTTTGAGGGATGCATCTGTTTGAACTGTAAGAGCTGGCGTCGGGATTTCCAAAGGGACCCCCTTGGAGAGATTCCCGACATCAGTCCACCACTGAAGGTGAGGAGAAAACCACTCGGGAACTGTGAGAGACTTCTCCAGATCCTCAGAGTGAGCCCACAGACTCGCCAAAGCTTGCTGTATAGGGCGCATCCTCAACCGTGCCTGCCACATGACAGAGATTGTGGCTGCCAATATGACCCAATAGACGGAGCCAAGTCTGCGCCGGTGCCTGGGGCTGGGAGAGGAACGAAGATACTATCTCCCGTACTCTGGTGATCCGGTCGGGCGACAGAGACACAAGATCTGGCTGAGTTAGTGCATACAGCAACCAGTTGTCTAGGTAAGGGTGACAATGCCTTCCTTGTGACTGCGCGAGAGTAGCCGGCACTAACATGAGGTGAGAAGAGAAGACCCGAACCCCGACCCGGTGGAATGCCGAGCCACACACGATGAGGGGAAGGAAGAGCCCGAGACGCTCTCCACTCCAGCCACCGACCGCATGCCAGGATCCCGGTCCCGAGACGCAGCAGGCTGCCCAGACAGAACTGGAGCCTCCGCTCTCAAGGGGATAGGGTGCGCAGGGACCGGAACACCAGGAATACTCAACGGTCCCTGCGCAAGCACCGAGAGAGGGACTGGGTGCGAACCCTCCCTCTCCGGGGTGGTTCAGGCTTCCGGACCCAAAGCCAACGGCAGCAGATCAACAGAGGCCTATGGATCGAGCCGAGCCCGGCGATCCAACCCCCGAACTCTCCGCCCCCCATCCAGAGCCAGCGAGGAACTCCCGCCGGAGTCCTACCAACTGACTCGTGAATGAGGGACTTCACCGAGTCCATATGCTGTTGGAATAATTGCTGTATGAAAGACATCAATTTGTGCAGATTCTTTAAAACCTTTAGATTTAGAAGGCTTTTTAGCCTTTTTAGCTTTGGATGGGGGTGTTTCCTCGGCCGGGTCCCCTCCCACCTCCCTCAATTCTCTGTAGACAAGGAAATCGGCAGCCCTTCTCTTTTGGGCACCGGGGGAGAAACCGAGGCAAAGTTTGCACACATCAGGGTTATGCCCAGCCTTTTCAAGGCAACATAAGCACTTGTCGTGCCTATCTGCAGGCGGTAACCGTTGCCCACAGGCAACACACGCCGTAAACGCCTGAAAGCAAACACACAACGCATGTAGCTAACGGCCAAAACAACAGCCAAATACACGTATAAAACATTGAAAATATGTGAATGCGACAACGCGACATGAAATAATTGTTTAATAAAGCAATATTTCAACTACGTGACATGCCAAACTTCCCGCCATTGAATAGTAACACCTATGTAAACCACGGGAAAGCTAGCGTAAATTTAAATACAAAAGTCACATAAATGAGAAATAACCAACTCCAAAGTCAAAAGAGAATTCTAAAGAACGAAAAAAGACCATACATACAGTAGTTGAAGTCTCAGACATAGTCATAGTATGCATGTGTACACAATGCATGACAGCAGAAGGAATGATGATACGGGCTTAGGTGCTTACCTGGTAGGCTGCACATGCCTATTAGGGAGGTAACTCCATGTGGTGGGGGCCATGTAATAAATAAAAAGGCTTTTTCATTTATTGTACAATATTTTATTAAAATATTGATACAACTGTCACATGATATTTTCAGCCGCAGAAAATGCATATATGTACCCCAAGGACGATCTCTATGAAAAAGAATATGCACCATCAACAATTTGGCTACAACCAATCACACTAATGTATGCTTGGATGTCTTATGTGGATGTATTGTAATTAAACAGGCAATCTGTTCACATGAGTAAAAATGTGATACTGACCAAGTTTTCCTCCAGTGACGCCCCTTCCTTCATCCTGGCTGGGTCCACCTCACACAGCTTCCTCTCCTCAAATATCTGCAACATCAGCAGCCCACATCACACCACAGTAACATCTACACCTCACACAGCTTCCTCTCCTCAAATATCTGCAACATCAGCAGCCCACATCACACCACAGCAACATCTACACCTCACACAGCTTCCTCTCCTCAAATATCTGACATCAGCAGCCCACATCACACCACAGCAACATCTACACCTCACACAGCTTCCTCTCCTCAAATATCTGCAACATCAGCAGCCCACATCACACCACAGCAACATCTACACCTCACACAGCTTCCTCTCCTCAAATATCTGCAACATCAGCAGCCCACATCACACCACAGCAACATCTACACCTCTCACACAGCTTCCTCTCCTCAAATATCTGCAACATCAGCAGCCCACATCACACACACAGCAACATCTACACCTCACACAGCTTCTCTCCTCAAATATCTGCAACATCAGCAGCCCACATCACACCACAGCAACATCTACACCTCACACAGCTTCCTCTCCTCAAATATCTGCAACATTGGCAGCCCACATCACACCACAGCAACATCTACACCTCACACAGCTTCCTCTCCTCAAATATCTGCAACATCAGCAGCCCACATCACACCACAGCAACATCTACACCTCACACAGCAGCCTCCTCTCCTCAAATATCTGCAACATCAGCAGCCCACATCACACCACAGCAACATCTACACCTCACACAGCTTCCTCTCCTCAAATATCTGCAACATTGGCAGCCCACATCACACCACAGCAACATCTACACCTCACACAGCTTCCTCTCCTCAAATATCTGCAACATTGGCAGCCCACATCACACCACAGCAACATCTACACCTCACACAGCTTCCTCTCCTCAAATATCTGCAACATCAGCAGCCCACATCACACCACAGCAACATCTACACCTCACACAGCTTCCTCTCCTCAAATATCTGCAACATCAGCAGCCCACATCACACCACAGCAACATCTACACCTCACACAGCTTCCTCTCCTCAAATATCTGCAACATCAGCAGCCCACATCACACCACAGCAACATCTACACCTCACACAGCTTCCTCTCCTCAAATATCTGCAACATCAGCAGCCCACATCACACCACAGTAACATCTACACCTCACACAGCTTCCTCTCCTCAAATATCTGCAACATCAGCAGCCCACATCACACCACAGCAACATCTACACCTCACACAGCTTCCTCTCCTCAAATATCAGCAACATCAGCAGCCCACATCACACCACAGCAACATCTACACCTCACACAGCTTCCTCTCCTCAAATATCTGCAACATCAGCAGCCCACATCACACCACAGCAACATCTACACCTCACACAGCTTCCTCTCCTCAAATATCAGCAACATTGGCAGCCCACATCACACCACAGCAACATCTACACCTCACACAGCTTCCTCTCCTCAAATATCAGCAACATTGGCAGCCCACATCACACCACAGCAACATCTACACCTCACACAGCTTCCTCTCCTCAAATATCAGCAACATTGGCAGCCCACATCACACCACAGCAACATCTACACCTCACACAGCTTCCTCTCCTCAAATATCAGCAACATTGGCAGCCCACATCACACCACAGCAACATCTACACCTCACACAGCTTCCTCTCCTCAAATATCAGCAACATTGGAGGCCCACATCACACCACAGCAACATCTACACCTCAGACAGCTTCCTCTCCTCAAATATCAGCAACATTGGCAGCCCACATCACACCACAGCAACATCTACACCTCACACAGCTTCCTCTCCTCAAATATCAGCAACATTGGCAGCCCACATCACACCACAGCAACATCTACACCTCACACAGCCTGACCTGGTCAATGATGGTCTTGAGGGTGTCATGGAGGTATGGCAGGCCCACCAGCTTCATCAGCTCATCGACCAGTTTGGTCACTAGCGTGTTCCCACGGAAGAATGTATTGGCATCACTGCAACGTTAGGATACAAAACTTAAACTGACAACAGGAATCTTGAAAATTACAACAGTAGCATTGATCAATTCACACTACAGTCTGTGTGATTTCATTTGAGACCGATGAATTGCTCACTAACAAACAAGTCTAAATAATTGCAACAAAACCAAATTTTGCACAGTCACATGAAATTGACAGACCAACTCTGATGATTTTTCTCATAAGTTTGGACACCAGAATAAAAAAGTTAAACAAACGATCATTATTTTGTTGTCACTGATTGCATTTTTTACGAGGGAGGACCACTTGCTGGTAGAACAGCCAGGTGTGCAAGTTGTACGTGTGAAATTGAAATTTCACTACACACACATGTTGATACCTGGCTGTTCTACCAGCAAATCGTCCCCCGAGAAAATAGCAAAATGTTCATCTGTCTCAAGTGACATCAAACGGACTGTAGTTATCATAAAACATACACAGTGAGGTCACAGTTCAGAGTCTGTTTGAGGCCTGTCATTCACAGCACTATTCTGACCTTACTGCATAGTCATTACTGTCATCTCAAGAACAATATAATTCTCTGTTTTGTTTGCTTTCCACAAACTACATCCCAGCTACGTGACAGCCTCTTGTATCTCTTGGTATCATTACCAGTATCCTATAAGGTCAAGGCTTTTACACACAAGGTGAGGTGAAATTGGGTTTAACGTCGTGCTTGAGAATATTTCGCTCATATGACGACGTGCATGCGTGTGTAGGTGTATGTGCAGCTGCTTGTACTAGCCCAGATGGAAGCTGGTTTTATAGTGCTAGCCCAGTGAGATACCATGCCGCAGTGAAGCATGAATACCCCACTCAGACACATTATACTGACTTCGAGCCGACCAGTCCTTGTTGTACCCATTAATGCCGAGCGCCAGGCAGGGACCAACAAGTACCATATTTTAACGTCTTTTGGTATGACGCGGTCAGGGGTTACACACAAGAGGAGGACATGAGAGCAGTGTGCGAAATAGTCACTGGCCCGCTAGCTCGTGGCTAGTAAAAATCCAGTCGGGCCAACAAATCTCCCGACTGACTAGTGAGGTGAGGTGAAATTGGGTTTAATGTCGAGGCTTGAGAATATTTAAGCTCATAAACATGCATGCGAAAGTGTATGTGTATGTGCGGCTGTTTGTACTAGTACAGACTGAAGCTGGTTTTATAGTGCTAGCCCACTGAGATTCATGTCGCGAGTGAAGTATGAATACCCCATCCGACTGACTAGTGAATTTTCATGGGGTAATTTTGTAAATATATCACTTTCTCCGACTTGTTAAGTTATAATACACTTTCAAATCATGCAAGATTATGGCCGGATAAAAATGTTTATCATATAAGCACCTTAATGATGAAACCTGTGCCATGCCAACATCTTAATCTCATCTATTTTCGTAATCTTTTGCTTAGTTTCTACATACAAATTTTGGGTAAGTGAATTATTTTGTGAGCTAGTAACTTTCAGGCATAGCTAGCCCGACTGGCCGGCGATATTTGGAAACTATTTTGAAAACTGTATGAGAGTCTGTCCATCCGATCTACTGACTTGTATCAGTACTTGTTCCTGGGGTGTCCATATTCTCATTGGAATCCACATTCATGCAATGCTAGGGACTGTTCCTGCCTCAGAACATGTATCATGTTGTACTAGGACAGGGATATGCTTGGACAAACAGAGTGTGTGATAAAGCAAACACTTGTCACCTTCAAGAAATTAGGATTCATCGTAGTGGCAGAAACTGCCAGACAGATTGTGCTGGACACTTACGTTGTCTTTTCTATTTCCCATTTGGCAAGAGCGGAGACTAGGGGGACTATTTTTCCATGCTTCAGGAACAGTCTGACTAGAGGTTGTGCTGCGTCCTGGAGGTGTTCGACCACCTCACCAAGTAGGTATACAGACGTGCAGGAGATTGGCTGGAACACAAGTTATAGACGCCACATGTCACACCAGTCACACACTTTACATCAGTCACAAATGTTCAACAAATCATTCTTAAGTTCACTGGTAAACGTTTGTAATATGTTCGGAATGTTGAAAATCATGCAGGTACTTCATGCAAATAGACAACGTCGGAATAAAAGAACACCCAGGCTTGACTTTTTTCCAGAAACAGATTCAATTAGTCAAACTGAGTGAGCAAGTATAGCTTTATGCCGCTTTTAGCAATATTCCAGCAATATCACAGTGGGGGACACCAGAAATGTGGGGAATCGAATCCGTGTCTACCCCACCACCCCTGGTGAAAATGACAAAACAGCGGTGTGAATCATAAAGATGTCTGAACATCAATGATGACACCAGGTGTTCGTGAAACGGGTGACACCCACCTATCAAACAATTGCCCAAAAACTGGAAGTACTTTCAGCCTGATGCCGTATAGCAGTAGTCCTGTCTTGCAAATGGCATCATGTAAACCAGACAATCAGGTGATCAATAAACCAGACAATCAGGTGATCGATAAACCAGACAATCAGGTGATCAATAAACCAGACAATCAGGTGATCGATAGACCAGACAATCAGGTGATCAATAAACCAGACAATCAGGTGATTGATCAGGTGATTGATAGACCAGACAATCAGGTGATCAATAAACCAGACAATCAGGTGATCAATAGACCAGACAATCAGGTGATGGATAGACCAGACAATCAGGTGATTGATAGACCAGACAATCAGGTGATCAATAAACCAGACAATCAGGTGATCGATAGACCAGACAATCAGTTGATTGATAGACCAGAAAATCAGGTGATCGATAGACCAGACAATCAGGTGATTGATAGACCAGACAATCAGGTGATTGATAGACCAGACAATCAGGTGATCGATAGACCAGACAGGTGATTGATAGACCAAATAATCCAGTAAATGAGATGTGGTGCTGCTAAAAGTAGCGCTGACTAAAGTCAAGGTGAATCTTGGATCTGAGCAAATGACCAGCAGATGACTACAAAACTTGGCAGACTGGAGCTGTCTACTCACCTGGAGGTCTATAGAGTGGAGAAGAAGAGATCGGAGATCGTTGTAGTAGTGAGACAGAAACACGTAGTCGGCAGTGTAGGAGATGTTGAGACGGAGTGAGCCGAGGTTAGCAGGGGTCTGGCGTAAACTCTCCCTGGCCTGTAGACTGTACCTGTTGGAAAAATACAGCTTGACACATGTGGAGCAATTAGACAAATTGTTTCTGTAGACACATGGTAGACAAGAGGGCCATGTTCATACGGGTGGGGGATTGAGCAAGCATACAGAGAGGTAATGTCACTCCTTCCTTAATGGAACGCATCCATTTGATTTGAAAACACCTCAAAATGGTGTCAGTAGAGATACAAAAAAGTGTGTGAGTGAGTTTAGTTTTATGCAATACTCTGCAATATTCCAGCTATATGGCGGTGGTCTGAAAACAATGGACCAGACAATCCAGTGATCAACAGCATAAGCACCGATCTACGCAATTGGGATACGATGACATGCGTCAACCAAGTTAGCGAGCCTGACCATCCAATCTTGGACAGCCATTGGGACCTAGTGTAAACCTAAATGATAGACAATGATAGACAATAGCGGGGAGGCTAGAAACATACGGTACATTTTACAGAAATGGTTTCTTTACAGACAGATTGCAACCAGTTACATGTGCTTGATTTGTGTCCAACCTCATAATAGACCTTGTGTCTCTACAGTTACCATGGTTACCATGTTCTACCTACCAGGCACTGTGGGGGAAGTTGTTGTCCAGACCGTGGAGCGGAATCTTCACCTCTCCCAGGAAGGATCCACGAAATATGTTGCCAAGGACCTCTCGGGACACAAGGGAGTCATCATGCCACACAGATATACTGTAAACAGATATACTGTAACACAGATATACAGGTAACACAGATATACAGGTAACACAGATATACTGTAAACAGATATACAGGTAACACAGATATACTGTAAACAGATATACAGGTAACACAGATATATACTGTAAACAGATATACAGGTAACAGATATACTGTAAACAGATTTACAGGTAACACAGATATACTGTAAACAGATATACAGGTAACACAGATATACTGTAAACAGATATAAAGGAAAAAAAAATACTGTAAACATATTTACAGGTAACACAGATATACTGTAAACAGATATACGGGTAACACAGATATACTGTAAACAGATATACAGGTAACACAGATATACTGTAAACAGATATACAGGTAACAGATATACTGTAAACAGATATACAGGTAACACAGATATACTGTAAACAGATATACAGGTAACACAGACATACTGTAAACAGATATACAGGTAACATCGATATACTGTAAACAGATATACAGGTAACACAGATATACTGTAAACAGATATACGGGTAACACAGGTATACTGTAAACAGATATACAGGTAACAGATATACTGTAAACAGATATACAGGTAACATATACTGTAAACAGATATACAGGTAACAGATATACTGTAAACAGATTTAAAGGTAACAGATATACTGTAAACAGATTTACAGGCAACACAGATATACTGTAAACAGATATACGGGTAACACAGATATACTGTAAACAGATATACAGGTAACACAGATATACTGTAAACAGATATACAGGTAACAGATATACTGTAAACAGATATACAGGTAACAGATATACTGTAAACAGTTTTACAGGTAACACAGATATACTGTAAACAGATATACGGGTAACACAGATATACTGTAAACAGATATACAGGTAACACAGATATACTGTAAACAGATATACAGGTAACAGATATACTGTAAACAGATATACAGGTAACACAGATATACTGTAAACAGATATACAGGTAACACAGATATACTGTAAACAGATATACAGGTAACACAGATATACTGTAAACAGATATACAGGTAACACAGATATACTGTAAACAGACGTACAGGTAACATAGATATACTGTAAACAGATATACAGGTAACACAGATATACTGTAAACAGATATACTAGTAACACAGATATAATGTAAACAGATATACAGGTAACACAGATATACTGTAAACAGATACACAGGTAACACAGATATATTGTAAACAGATATACAGGTAACACAGATATACTGTAAACAGATATATGGGTAACACAGATATACTGTAAACAGATATACAGGTAACAGATATACTGTAAACAGATTTACAGGTAACACAGATATACTGTAAACAGATATTACGGGTAACACAGATATACTGTAAACAGATATACAGGTAACACAGATATACTGTACAAAATACTGTATACAGATATACAGGTAACATTATAGGAAGGATAAACGCAAATTGCAAATTGATTCAAAATAATCAAACATCTACGATAACACCTTTTGATGGCTAAGCTTCCTGTACATGTATATTCTACTTAAAGTCTGTCATCATTCACTGATGGCACTGATAGTTGCTCATGATTTCGACCACTGGTTCATCACGTCTAGCTGTAACTGGTTTAGAGTCAGTCTGTCCCTGATTACCTCAGATCTCCACTGAAGGCATCTTCAAAACAGTACAGTTTCCTGTCGTGGTTCTGCCCCTTGTTTTCCAGCTGCAAAAACAATAATCATTATTGAACTCCAACAATGATTCTGAACAAGTAAATATATTGACATCGTTAAGCAGTTTTCATTAACATCTCAGAGAAGTAGATCCCATGTCCCTTATTTCAGAGTTGGGCGTAGCCATACGTTAGGGTTTATGTCACACGTGTACAGGGAAACTGGCCAATTCTTACACAAGACTTCTTAATTTTCTGATTTAATAATAGGTAATAATTACGTGAGTGAGTGAATAATAACGTGAGTGAGTGAGAGTGAGTGAGTGAGTGAGTGAGTGAGTGAGTGAGTGAGTGAGTGAGTGAGTGAGTGAGTGAGTGAGTGAGTGAGTGAGTGAGTGAGTGAGTGAGTGAGTGAGTGAGTTTAAGTTTAAGTCCGCTTCCCAGATAGCATTCGGACGTTGGTCCAATCTTGGCAAAACCATTGCCAACGTTGAGCCAACGTCTGAATGCTATCTGGGTTTTAGCGATATTCCAGCAATATCATGGCAGGGGACACCAGAAATGGCCTTCATACATTGTACCCATGTTGGGAATCGAACTCAGGTCTTCGGCGTGACAAAACGATTACATGAAGGATGTTCCTTCTGTTCCTGTGCTGGTATGAGGAAAATACGTGAGAACACTAGTAACTTATTAGTTAAACTCTCAGTTTAAAAAGCACAGAAATATTTAGTGACTTCGCACACAGTTGCAACTTTCATAAACTCACTGACGACACACACAACCAATACCTAAATCACAGACTATATACCAGCACTACACACATGAAATCACTAACTACACACACACACAACCACTCACATCAAAAAAGAAAGTTTCATCAAAATGTGGGCAGATTGTTTTCTTCTTGACGGCCGTCCTCCTGATGTCCTTGTGACGGGACTTGGGATTGAGAGTGACGACTACGTACGGGTTGCAGGCGCCGTTGATGATGGTCAAGTTACTGCACTCGACCACTCTGCAAGAGATATAATGGTAAAATCAATAGCCAGATCACACATGGGTACCAAATAGTCATTATACTGGTAGAATCAATAGTCAGTTCATACATGGGTACCTGGTAGTTATAATACCGCTAAGTCAATGGGCAGTTTATATTTGGGTACCTGGTAGTTATAATACCAGTAAGACAATAGGCAGTTCATACATGGGTACCCAGTAGCTATCATACCAGTAGGTCAACTAAACCATATGGTGATGTTACTAAACAATATGGTGTTGTTAATAAACAATAATGTGTTGTTACTAAACAATATGGTGGTGTTACAAAACAATATGGTGGTGTTACTAAACAATATGGTGGTGTTACTAAACAATATGGTGGTGTTACTAAACAATGTGGTGGTGTTACTAAACAATATGGTGGTGTTACTAAACAATATGGTGGTGTTACTAAACAATATGGTGGTGTTACTAAACAATATGGTGGTGTTACTAAACAATGTGGTGGTGTTACTAAACAATATGGTGGTGTTACTAAACAATATGGTGGTGTTACTAAACAATATGGTGGTGTTACTAAACAATATGGTGGTGTTACTAAACAATATGGTGGTGTTACTAAACAATATGGTGGTGTTACTAAACAATATGGTGGTGTTACTAAACAATATGGTGGTGTTACTAAACAATATGGTGGTGTTACTAAACAATGGTGGGTGTTACTAAACAATATGGTGGTGTTACTAAACAATGGCGGTGGTGTTACTAAACAATATGGTGGTGTTACTAAACAATATGGTGGTGTTACTAAACAATGTGGTGGTGTTACTAAATGTGGTGGTGTTACTAAACAATATGGTGGTGTTACTAATATGGTGGTGTTACTAAACAATATGGTGGTGTTACTACTAAACAATGTGGTGGTGTTACTAAACAATATGGTGGTGTTACTAAACAATAAACAATGGTGGTGTTACTAAACAATGTGGTGGTGTTACTAAACAATATGGTGGTGTTACTAAACAATGTGGTGGTGTTACTAAACAATATCGGTGGTGTTACTAAACAATATGGTGGTGTTACTAAACAATGTGGTGGTGTTACTAAACAATACGGTGGTGTTACTAAACAAATGGTGGTGGTGGTGTTACTAAACAAATGGTGGTGTGGTGTTACTAAACAAATGGTGGTGGTGTTACTAAACAATGTGGTGGTGTTACTAAACAATATGGTGGTGTTACTAAACAATGTGGTGGTGTTACTAAACAATATGGTGGTGTTACTAAACAATGTGGTGGTGTTACTAAACAATATGGTGGTGTTACTAAACAATATGGTGGTGTTACTAAACAATATGGTGGTGTTACTAAACAATATGGTGGTGTTACTAAACAATATGGTGGTGTTACTAAACAATGTGGTGGTGTTACTAAACAATATGGTGGTGTTACTAAACAATATGGTGGTGTTACTAAACAATATGGTGGTGTTACTAAACAATATGGTGGTGTTACTAAACAATATGGTGGTGTTACTAAACAATATGGTGGTGTTACTAAACAATATGGTGGTGGTGTTACTAAACAAATGGTGGTGTTACTAAACAATATGGTGGTGTTACTAAACAACATGGTGGTGTTAGGTGGTGTTACTAAACAATGTGGTGGTGTTACTAAACAATATGGTGGTGTTACTAAACAATATGGTGGTGTTACTAAACAATATGGTGGTGTTACTAAAGGTGGTGTTACTAAACAATATGGTGGTGTTACTAAACAATGTGGTGGTGTTACTAAACAATATGGTGGTGTTACTAAACAATGTGGTGGTGTTACTAAACAATGTGGTGGTGTTACTAAACAATGTGGTGGTGTTACTAAACAATATGGTGGTGTTACTAAACAATATGGTGGTGTTACTAAACAATGGTGGTGTTACTAAACAATATGGTGGTGTTACTAAACAATATGGTGGTGTTACTAAACAAAACATGGTGGTGTTACTAAACAACAATATGGTGGTGTTACTAAACAATATGGTGGTGTTACTAAACAATATGGTGGTGTTACTAAACAATATGGTGGTGTTACTAAACAATATGGTGGTGTTACTAAACAATATGGTGGTGTTACTAAACAATGTGGTGGTGTTACTAAACAATGTGGTGGTGTTACTAAACAATACGGTGGTGTTACTAAACAATGTGGTGGTGTTACTAAACAATATGGTGGTGTTACTAAACAAAGGTGGTGTTACTAAACAATATGGTGGTGTTACTAAACAATAATGGTGGTGTTACTAAACAATATGGTGGTGTTACTAAACAATATGGTGGTGTTACTAAACAATATGGTGGTGTTACTAAACAATATGGTGGTGTTACTAAACAATGTGGTGGTGTTACTAAACAATATGGTGGTGTTACTAAACAATATGGTGGTGTTACTAAACAATATGGTGGTGTTACTAAACAATGTGGTGGTGTTACTAAACAATATGGTGGTGTTACTAAACAATACGGTGGTGTTACTAAACAATGTGGTGTTGTTAGTAAACAATACGGTGGTGTTACTAAAGGTGGTGTTACTAAACAATATGGTGGTGTTACTAAACAATATGGTGGTGTTACTAAACAATATGGTGGTGTTACTAAACAATACGGTGGTGTTACTAAACAATATGGTGGTGTTACTAAACAATATGGTGGTGTTACTAAACAATATGGTGGTGTTACTAAACAAAGGTGGTGTTACTAAACAATATGGTGGTGTTACTAAACAATATGGTGGTGTTACTAAACAATATGGTGGTGTTACTAAACAATATGGTGGTGTTACTAAACAATATGGTGGTGTTACTAAAGGTGGTGTTACTAAACAATATGGTGGTGTTACTAAAGGTGGTGTTACTAAACAATATGGTGGTGTTACTAAACAATATGGTGGTGTTACTAAACAATGTGGTGTTACTAAACAATATGGTGGTGTTACTAAACAATACGGTGGTGTTACTAAACAATATGGTGGTGTTACTAAACAATATGGTGGTGTTACTAAACAATATGGTGGTGTTACTAAACAATATGGTGGTGTTACTAAACAATATGGTGGTGTTACTAAACAATATGGTGGTGTTACTAAACAATGTGGTGGTGTTACTAAACAATATGGTGGTGTTACTAAACAATATGGTGGTGTTACTAAACAATATGGTGGTGTTACTAAACAATATGGTGGTGTTACTAAACAATATGGTGGTGTTACTAAAGGTGGTGTTACTAAACAATATGGTGGTGTTACTAAACAATATGGTGGTGTTACTAAACAATATGGTGGTGTTACTAAACAATATGGTGGTGTTACTAAACAATATGGTGGTGTTACTAAACAATATGGTGGTGTTACTAAACAATATGGTGGTGTTACTAAACAATATGGTGGTGTTACTAAACAATATGGTGGTGTTACTAAACAATATGGTGGTGTTACTAAAAACAATGTGGTGGTGTTACTAAACAATGTGGTGGTGTTACTAAACAATATGGTGGTGTTACTAAACAATATGGTGGTGTTACTAAACAATATGGTGGTGTTACTAAAGGTGGTGTTACTAAACAATATGGTGGTGTTACTAAACAATATGGTGGTGTTACTAAACAATATGGTGGTGTTACTAAACAATATGGTGGTGTTACTAAACAATATGGTGGTGTTACTAAACAATATGGTGGTGTTACTAAACAATGTGGTGGTGTTACTAAACAATATGGTGGTGTTACTAAACAATATGGTGGTGTTACTAAACAATATGGTGGTGTTACTAAACAATGTGGTGGTGTTACTAAACAATATGGTGGTGTTACTAAACAATATGGTGGTGTTACTAAACAATACTGTGGTGGTGTTACTAAACAATATGGTGGTGTTACTAAACAAGGTGGTGTTACTAAACAATGTGGTGGTGTTACTAAACAATATGGTGGTGTTACTAAACAATATGGTGGTGTTACTAAACAATATGGTGGTGTTACTAAACAATATGGTGGTGTTACTAAACAATGTGGTGGTGTTACTAAACAATGTGGTGGTGTTACTAAACAATGTGGTGGTGTTACTAAACAATATGGTGGTGTTACTAAACAACATGGTGGTGTTACTAAACAATGTGGTGGTGTTACTAAAAACAATGTGGTGGTGTTACTAAACAATATGGTGGTGTTACTAAAACAATACTGGTGGTGTTACTAAACAACATGGTGGTGGTGTTACTAAACAATGTGGTGGTGTTACTAAACAACATGGTGGTGTTACTAAACAATGTGGTGGTGTTACTAAACAATGTGGTGGTGTTACTAAACAACATGGTGGTGTTACTAAACAATATGGTGGTTGTTAAACAACAATGGTGGTGTTACTAAACAATATGGTGGTGTTACTAAACAATATGGTGGTGTTACTAAACAATGTGGTGGTGTTACTAAACAATGTGGTGGTGTTACTAAACAATGTGGTGGTGTTACTAAACAATATGGTGGTGTTACTAAACAATATGGTGGTGTTACTAAACAATATGGTGGTGTTACTAAACAATATGGTGGTGTTACTAAACAATAAGGTGGTGTTACTAAACAATATGGTGGTGTTACTAAACAATATGGTGGTGTTACTAAACAATGTGGTGGTGTTACTAAACAATGTGGTGGTGTTACTAAACAATATGGTGGTGTTACTAAACAATATGGTGGTGTTACTAAACAATGTGGTGGTGTTACTAAACAATGTGGTGGTGTTACTAAACAATGTGGTGGTGTTACTAAACAATGTGGTGGTGTTACTAAACAATGTGGTGGTGTTACTAAACAATATGGTGGTGTTACTAAACAATATGGTGGTGTTACTAAACAATGTGGTGGTGTTACTAAACAATGTGGTGGTGTTACTAAACAATATGGTGGTGTTACTAAACAATATGGTGGTGTTACTAAACAATATGGTGGTGTTACTAAACAATATGGTGGTGTTACTAAACAATGTGGTGGTGTTACTAAACAATGTGGTGGTGTTACTAAACAATGTGGTGGTGTTACTAAACAATGTGGTGGTGTTACTAAACAATATGGTGGTGTTACTAAACAAGGTGGTGTTACTAAACAATGTGGTGGTGTTACTAAACAATGTGGTGGTGTTACTAAACAATGTGGTGGTGTTACTAAACAATATGGTGGTGTTACTAAACAATATGGTGGTGTTACTAAACAATATGGTGGTGTTACTAAACAATACGGTGGTGTTACTAAACAATATGGTGGTGTTACTAAACAATATGGTGGTGTTGTTGGTGGTGTTACTAAACAATGTGGTGGTGGTGTTACTAAACAATGTGGTGGTGTTACTAAACAATGTGGTGGTGTTACTAAACAATATGGTGGTGTTACTAAACAATATGGTGGTGTTACTAAACAATATGGTGGTGTTACTAAACAATATGGTGGTGTTACTAAAAATGGTGGTGTTACTAAACAATGTGGTGGTGTTACTAAACAATATGGTGGTGTTACTAAACAATGTGGTGGTGTTACTAAACAATGTGGTGGTGTTACTAAACAATGTGGTGGTGTTACTAAACAATATGGTGGTGTTACTAAACAATATGGTGGTGTTACTAAACAATGTGGTGGTGTTACTAAACAATGTGGTGGTGTTACTAAACAATGTGGTGGTGTTACTAAACTAAAGGTGGTGTTACTAAACAATATGGTGGTGTTACTAAACAATATGGTGGTGTTACTAAACAATGTGGTGGTGTTACTAAACAATATGGTGGTGTTACTAAACAAATGGTGGTGGTGTTACTAAACAATATGGTGGTGTTACTAAACAATGTGGTGGTGTTACTAAACAATGTGGTGGTGTTACTAAACAATATGGTGGTGTTACTAAACAATGTGGTGGTGTTACTAAACAATGTGGTGGTGTTACTAAAGGTGGTGTTACTAAACAATATGGTGGTGTTACTAAACAATATGGTGGTGTTACTGAACAATGTGGTGTTACTAAACAATATGGTGGTGTTACTAAATATGGTGGTGTTACTAAACAATGTGGTGGTGGTGGTGTTACTAAACAATATGGTGGTGTTACTAAACAACATGGTGGTGTTACTAAACAATATGGTGGTGTTACTAAACAATATGGTGGTGTTACTAAACAATATGGTGGTGTTACTAAACAATATGGTGGTGTTACTAAACAATATGGTGGTGTTACTAAACAATATGGTGGTGTTACTAAACAATATGGTGGTGTTACTAAACAAAACAATAAACAATGGTGGTGTTACTAAACGTGGTGGTGTTACTAAACAATGTGGTGGTGTTACTAAACAATGTGGTGGTGTGTTACTAAACAATGTGGTGGTGTTACTAAACAATATGGTGGTGTTACTACAATGTGGTGGTGTTACTAAACAATGTGGTGGTGTTACTAAACAATGTGGTGGTGTTACTAAACAATGTGGTGGTGTTACTAAACAACGTGGTGGTGTTACTAAAAACAATGTGGTGGTGTTACTAAACAATGTGGTGGTGTTACTAAACAATATGGTGGTGTTACTAAACAACATGGTGGTGTTACTAAACAATATGGTGGTGTTAAACTGGTGTTACTAAACAATATGGTGGTGTTACTAAACAATATGGTGGTGTTACTGAACAATATGGTGGTGTTACTAAACAATGTGGTGGTGTTACTAAACAATGTGGTGGTGTTACTAAACAATGGTGGTGTTACTAAACAATATGGTGGTGTTACTAAACAATATGGTGGTGTTACTAAACAATATGGTGGTGTTACTAAATATGGTGGTGTTACTAAACAATATGGTGGTGTTACTAAACAATATGGTGGTGTTACTAAACAATATGGTGGTGTTACTAAACAATATGGTGGTGTTACTAAACAATATGGTGGTGTTACTAAACAATATGGTGGTGTTACTAAACAATATGGTGGTGTTACTAAACAATGTGGTGGTGTTACTAAACAATGTGGTGGTGTTACTAAACAATATGGTGGTGTTACTAAACAATATGGTGGTGTTACTAAACAATATGGTGGTGTTACTAAACAATGTGGTGGTGTTACTAAACAATATGGTGGTGTTACTAAACAATATGGTGGTGTTACTAAACAATATGGTGGTGTTACTAAACAATATGGTGGTGTTACTAAACATGGTGGTGTGGTGGTGTTACTAAACAATGTGGTGGTGGTGTTACTAAACAACAACGTGGTGGTGTTACTAAACAATATGGTGGTGTTACTAAACAATGTGGTGGTGTTACTAAACAATATGGTGGTGTTACTAAACAATGTGGTGGTGTTACTAAACAATATGGTGGTGTTACTAAACAATGTGGTGGTGTTACTAAACAATATGGTGGTGTTACTAAACAATGTGGTGGTGTTACTAAACAATATGGTGGTGTTACTAAACAATGTGGTGGTGTTACTAAACAATGTGGTGGTGTTACTAAACAATATGGTGGTGTTACTAAACAATATGGTGGTGTTACTAAACAATGTGGTGGTGTTACTAAACAATGTGGTGGTGTTACTAAACAATATGGTGGTGTTACTAAACAATATGGTGGTGTTACTAAACAATATGGTGGTGTTACTAAACAATATGGTGGTGTTACTAAACAATGTGGTGGTGTTACTAAACAATATGGTGGTGTTACTAAACAATATGGTGGTGTTACTAAACAATATGGTGGTGTTACTAAACAATATGGTGGTGTTACTAAACAATATGGTGGTGTTACTAAACAATATGGTGGTGTTACTAAACAATATGGTGGTGTTACTAAACAATATGGTGGTGTTACTAAACAATGTGGTGGTGTTACTAAACAATATGGTGGTGTTACTAAACAATATGGTGGTGTTACTAAACAATATGGTGGTGTTACTAAACAATATGGTGGTGTTACTAAACAATATGGTGGTGTACTAAACAATATGGTGGTGTTACTAAACAATATGGTGGTGTTACTAAACAATATGGTGGGTGTTACTAAAAACAATGTGGTGTGTTACTAAACAATATGGTGGTGTTACTAAACAATATGGTGGTGTTACTAAACAATATGGTGGTGTTACTAAACAATATGGTGGTGTTACTAAACAATGTGGTGGTGTTACTAAACAATATGGTGGTGTTACTAAACAATGTGGTGGTGTTACTAAACAATATGGTGGTGTTACTAAACAATATGGTGGTGTTACTAAACAATATGGTGGTGTTACTAAACAATGTGGTGGTGTTACTAAACAATATGGTGGTGTTACTAAACAATGGTGGTGTTACTAAACAATATGGTGGTGTTACTAAACAATATGGTGGTGTTACTAAACAATGTGGTGGTGTTACTAAACAAAATGGTGGTGTTACTAAACAATATGGTGGTGTTACTAAACAATACGGTGGTGTTACTAAACAATACGGTGGTGTTACTAAACAATATGGTGGTGTTACTAAACAATGTGGTGTTACTAAACAATGTGGTGGTGTTACTAAACAATATGGTGGTGTTACTAAACAATATGGTGGTGTTACTAAACAATATGGTGGTGTTACTAAACAATATGGTGGTGTTACTAAACAATATCGTGGTGTTACTAAACAATATCGTGGTGTTACTGAACAATGTGGTGTTGTTACTGTACCTGACAGCCATCCTGTGAGTGGGACTGGACTCGGGCTCTGTACTGAGGTATTCATCGAATCTGATCTCAATGTTGATCTTGCCCTTGAGGACAAACAGGTTCTTGTTTAGTGGTTGTTGTTGAAGGATTTATATCTAATATCAATCTACCAATGATGACCTACACAGAATCAGAGTTCAATGGCTTCCAACAGTTTAGTTTTCATGAAATCATGATCCTTGGTGGATAGGATTTCAACTTTGTCAAATTGGATGAAATGAGGGGGGTATTTTTGTAGGTGGTCTGAGAGGACCAATTTGCTGTCTGCCTTGGCTGGAGAGGTTTTATGTTCTTTAATGCAGGTAACTACAGGATGGGAGATTTCACCTATAATCAGGGATTTACAGGACGCGAATAAAAATGGACGCAACGAAACTTATTAGAGCATCCACATGGACGCAGAAAACGTCTAAATACTTTTTGTAAAAATTCCAACCAATAACAATAAGTTATCACTGAGTTTGCTGCTATTTGGGTTATGGTATCATTTGCAATTTAATTACTGTAACAATCAATGTGATGATCATGATACACAATACAATAACAGTATTAATAATAATATTAAAGTGTCTGGGACCCCCATTTAGTTGTGCAGGACCCCTGAAAATTAAGAGTATGAGTCCCAGTGATCCTCAAATACAGGACTCAAGGTAAATCCCTGTATAATCATGATAATGGAGTCACCACATTCACAGTTGATCTTGTGGACCACTTCTTTGGGGGTTTGCTTTTTGGAGGGAGGGCTATGGGACATTAGCTTGGAGGTTGGTTCTGAGCGACGGGGAGCCTGTGAAAATGGTGTTGATGCCTGCTTGGTGCCAAAGATGTAACGCTATATGAAGACTGTATGATTTAAACATATTTTATTCATGAAAATATTTAAGTCATGAATGCATTTGCCAACAAGCTCAGAGGAGCTGAAGACTGCATCATCAAGAAAACATCTCTACAACATTAAAGTGATGTACAGAATGCAGGTGTTGACCTTGACATTGATTATTTGATATCTCACCTTGACGGCGACATCTAGATCTGCAGGTGTTGGCCTTGACATTGACATTGATTATTTGATATCTCACCTTAGCGCTGACATCTGGATCTGCAGGTGTTGGCCTTGACATTGGTTATTTGATGACATCTAGATCTGCAGGTGTTGGCCTTGACATTGATTATTTGATATCTCACCTTGACGGCGACATCTAGATCTGCAGGTGTTGGCCTTGACATTGATTATTTGACATCTCACCTTGACAGCGACATCTGATTATTTGACATCTCGCGATGGCGACATCTAGATCTGCAGGTGTTGGCCTTGACATTGATTATTTGACATCTCACCTTGACGGCGACATCTAGATCTGCAGGTGTGAGAGAGAACCAGTGGTCCTTGTTGTAGAACTTGTACAGCTCTTCTTTCTTCAGGGTCACCTTGCCAAGAACCTGCAACAAAAATGAACAATGTAAGAATCTACATCGAAACGTTGCTCTATGCAATAAACAAGACGTTGCCATCCATAAAGTTGCACGTTTCATTTTTGACTGACCAACTTCTAGAATGGAGATAAAACAATTAACCTACAGCAAGCATACCACTAAAAATGTAATACTTCATAGACATTAGGTTAACAAAGATGATTCACAATGAACACTAATCATGTACAACATATGAAACTAAATGATCTGCAGTCGATATCAATCTCCCACAGATGAACCATAACATGAACATAATGAATCTATTTCCATGGTGACAGCTGACATTGATTGACAAGCACCTGCAAGTGAGTAGGCAACAGCTGATTTGATTGACAGATGTGCAAGGTTCAGACAACATAGATCTCTGTGCTGGGACAAATCACATAAACAGTATCATATTACAGACTGGACACTCTATCCAACAGCACACTGATACTTGGGAGGTCTATTTGTGGTCTCACAGCTTCAGTTACATATGGGTCAGGATGACTGTGGAATGTGGATGAACTGCAAACTTACTATATTCAATTAGGCTTGGGTTGCTTGTTGTCTAATGCTGCACTCAGCAATATTCCAGCTATATGGCGGTGGACAGTGAATAATTGAGTCTGGACAGGACAATCCAGTGATCAACATCATGAGCATCGATCTACGCAACTGCGATACAATGACATGTCAACCAAGTCCGCGAGTCTGACCACCAGATCCCGTTAGTCGCCTCTTACGATAAGCATGGTTCACCGAAGATCACTTCTAACCCGGATCTTGACTAGGAAACAGTTTCACTGTGTTCAACCGCAACACATTATGGACAATATTGGCAGGACAGAGTACACAAGTAATGTTTATCTAGGATTGTCTAGGTTTATCTAGCACTAAAATATAATAGATTTAAGAGTTACTCTTTATCATATCATATACAGGGCTACAGATAAGAGGCGTACAGGCGAAATGTATGCCTAAAAATCAATGAAGTACGACATAATATAAAATGTGTACGCACATGAATACCTTTGTATGTCTAACATATATGAACTAATGAAATTTAATAGCTGAAAAGTTGTTTAATATTATAAATAACAAACCACATCACCAACTCGCTCACACAAAAATATGTCAGTACTCTTTCAAAATTCTCAGTACACCTCCACTTGCAATATGAGGTGTAACTTTGTAAGTACACCCACACCCCAAAAGGTATCTGGAGCTCTGATATATACAAGTCAAATACAAGTCAACTGTACATACAGCATATGAATAAATACTGATAATTAGAACATTAGTTGGGGCCACATGATTGGCATCAGAGCAGCCATAGACAAATCCTTGCCACTCCAAGGGTAGAGACTCACCTTCTCTGTTTTAGCACCAGAGTCACACACATAGAAAGAGAGGAAACGAAACTTGATGGGAATATCTCCTTGAAACTCTGCTCCATAGAATGGGCTGAAACAAAAACAAGCAACTATAGCAGCCTGTCCATGTGCATCAAACATTGTGATATTCCAGAGGACATAGCACATGACTTTCCTTGCTCACAAGTTGTCACTCAGTGTCAGTAGTAAACATCTTGCCTCAACACATGGAGTCTTATTTTGGGATGGGGGGTTTTCACAGCTGCCAGTGACATAAATTTACTCCAAAACTTTAAGGTCAATAAACAGTTACCCAATATCTGCCCAAACAGAATACATTTTGCAGTAAACAGTTACCCAATATCTGCCAAAACAGATTCCATTTTGCAGTAAACAGTTACCCAATATCTGCCAAAACAGATTCCATTTTGCAGTAAACAGTCCAATATTCGCCAAAACAATATCTGCCAAAACAGATTCCATTTTGCAGTAAACTGCTAAAATAGATTCCATTTTTACCCAATATCTGCCAAAACAGATTCCATTTTGCAGTAAACAGTTTTTGCAGTAAAAGAGCAATATCTGCCAAAATAGATTCCATTTTCTGCCAAAGTGCTGTTACCCCAATATCTGCCAAGGCATTCCATTTTGCAATAAACAGTTCTCCACATCTGCCAAAACAGATTCCATTTTGCAGTAAACTGTTACCCAATATCTGCCAAAATAGATTCCATTTTGCAGTAAACTGTTACCCAACATCTGCCAAAACAGATTCCATTTTGCAGTAAACTGTTACCCAATATCTGCCAAACAGATTAGTTACCCCATTTTGCATTTTGGTAGTAAACAGTTACCCAACATCTGCCAAAATAGATTCCATTTTGCAGTAAACAGTTACCCAATATCTGCCAAAAAATAGATTCCATTTTGCAGTAAACTGTTACCAATATCTGCCAAAATAGATTCCATTTTGCAGTAAACAGTTACCAATATCAACATCTGCCAAAATAGATTCCATTTTGCAGTAAACTGTTACCCAATATCTGCAGTAAAAGTTACCCAAGATTAAATTTTGCAGTAAACAGTTACCCAATATCTGCCAAAATAGATTCCATTTTGCAGTAAACAGTTACCCAATATCTGCCAAAATAGATTCCATTTTGCAGTAAACTGTTACCCAATATCTGCCAAAATAGATTCCATTTTGCAGTAAACAGTTACCCAACATCTGCCAAAATAGATTCCATTTTGCAGTAAACAGTTACCCAATATCTGCCAAAACAGATTCCATTTTGCAGTAAACTGTTACCCAATATCTGCCAAAATAGATTCCATTTTGCAGTAAACTGTTACCCAATATCTGCCAAAACAGATTCCATTTTGCAGTAAACTGTTACCCAATATCTGCCAAACAGATTAAATTTTGCAGTAAACAGTTACCCAATATCTGCCAAAACAGATTCCATTTTGCAAAAACATTTATGCTTTAACCACTAGGCTACCCCACTGCCCCTGTTCGCAGAAAGAGAAAGCATAATTGTCCTACACCCTGTATTTGCACTATTAACAAAGCCACAAAGTCTAACCAGCCAATCCACAAATAAGTGAAAACACCTGTGAGTACGTAGATGTGAAAACTCTATGTAAAGGCCTAAGTATTGGATAAAACCTCGCAACATGTTGACAAGCAACATTCCACACTTAGTAAATCTATTAAAATGTCTGCTACAGTATTTCTAGAATGACTTAATCTTAGTGAGTGAGTGAGTTTAATTTACGCCGCACTCAGCAATATTACAGCTATATGGCGACGGTCTGTAAATAATCGAGTCTGGACCAGACATTCCAGTGATCAACAGCATGAGCACCGATCTGCGCAATTAGGAACTGATGACATGTGTCAAACAAGTCAGCGAGTCTGACCACCCGATCCCGTTAGTCGCCTCTTACGACAAGCATAGTCGCCTTTTGTGGCAAGCATGGGTTGCTGAAGACCTATTCTACCCCATATCTTCACCATGTTCACGGGTCGACTTAATTTTAAACGCTGAAAACAAGATTGCAATGCTCAGTTGCAAGCAAATGGTGTGTTTCCATTCAATCTGAATCAAATATACATGCTCTAAAGTACATTAGCATTTGACATAGGTAGAAGGAAATGGTATATCATTCGACCTGAAGAGGGAAAAGTAGTGAATGGATAATCAAAATCATCCCTTTTGTGATACGGTTTCATACAGTTTGTAAGTCATAAATGATAAAGAGTTGATTATGAAGTTACGTACAAAACATTCAGGAGTAGTCCTGCCCTACAGCTGCCAGTCAGATAAATACCTTCCTTGTCCACTACAACACACACACCCACAGCTACAACACACACACCTACAGCTTATAAACCACTGACTGATACTGAGTTGCCATGACAACACTTCCTACTGTTAGCCAGTAGCAACTATTTCATGTCACACTTTATAATATGATGTGAAAGGCATCTGTTATCAAGGTTTTATGAGTGAGTGAGTGACCTACAATCCTGAACCACTGTCAACCTGTCTGTACATAATACAAATTTATTGAATTACTTGGGTGTTTTCTCGACGGGGGCTGTCCTGTATATCTCCTCCGAGTCTATCCGTATTGTGCAGACCGTGGTGCGACCGCTCCCCGACACCGACGACGTGGACAGGTTCTTGGCTTCACCTACAAACAACGGTCAGCAAATGGTCAGCAGAACATAGCCCAAGTCATAGCTATTAATAATTATTGATTCCATAAATCAGTTATTAATCTGGGACCCGATCCACAAAGCATTCGTAACATTATGACTAATTGTATCTCTACAATGACAGTTTATGATTGGCTTACAATTAGGGCTATGCACATATTGTAGATCGGAACCCTGGTTGGAATCTGAAGGCAAGGTACAGCCCTTATAACCAGTGTTCCCACAGGCGTCTATCCTAGCCCTCATAACCAGTGTTCCCACAGGCGTCTTCCCTATTACGTCTACCCTAGCCCTCATAACCAGTGTTCCTAGCCCTCATAACCAGTGTTCCCACAGGCTGCCTCTAGCCCTCTCCTAGCCCTCATAACCAGTGTTCCCACAGGCATGCATTCCCTAGCCCTTATAACCAGTGTTCCCATAGGCCTATCCTAGCCCTCATAACCAGTGTTCCTAGCCCTTATAACCAGTGTTCCCACAGGCGTCTACCCTAGCCCTCATAACCAGTGTTCCCACAGGCGTCTACCCTAGCCCTCATAACCAGTGTTCCCACAGGCGTCTACCCTAGCCCTCATAACCAGTGTTCCCACAGGCGTCTATCCTAGCCCTCATAACCAGTGTTCCCACAGGCGTCTACCCTAGCCCTCATAACCAGTGTTCCCACAGGTGTCTACCTAGCCCTCATAACTAGGTGTTCCCACAGGCATCTATCCTAGCCCTCATAACCAGTGTTCCCACGAGCTGTCTACCCTAACCCTCATAACCAGTGTTCCCAGGGGTTCAAATTTTTTTTAAAAAGCCACTTGCCACAGGGCAAGTGACTTTAAGAAAGTAACTTGTCCTGACTAATTTTCCACTTGCCCTGATTTTATGACATAATTATGATGATGTAATTATGAAAGAAGAAATCAACATGGTATTTGATGTTAATGTTTACTGGACAATTTATTGAAAAGTGATAAATAGTAAAGAAAGATAACTCTACTTTATTATCATTGCGAAATGTAATAGCTACATTTTGAGCAGATAGAAAATTAATTCCAAGTTTATTTGCGGTTTGAAACCATAAGTGAGAATTATCTAGTAGCCAACGGACAAGTAAGATACCATTATTTGATTGCCCGAAATGAAAACTGACTTGTCTCGGGCGTCAGGCGATGGGATTTTTGAACCCCTGAGGCGTCTACCCTAGCCTACAACACTGAGGGTTCAGAGGAACACAATTACTATTTCAAGTGTCCTCCCTGGAATTAAGAGAGCCCTATAACCAGTGTTCCCACGGGTGTCTACCCTAGGCTACAACACTAAGGGTTCAGAGGAACACAATTACTATTTCAAGAGTCCTCCCTGGAATTAAGAGAGCCCTATAACCAGTGTTCCCACGGGTGTCTACCCTAGGCTACAACACTAAGGGTTCAGAGGAACACAATTACTATTTCAATAAGAGTCCTCCCTGGAATTAAGAGAGCCCTATAACCAGTGTTCCCACGGGTGTCTACCCTAGGCTACAACAGCTATATGGGTTCAGAAGAACACAATTACTATTTCCAACAAGAGTCCTCCCTGGAATTAGAGAGAGCCCTATAACCAGTGTTCCCACGGGTGTCCTACCCTAGGCTACAACACTAAGGGTTCAGAGGAACACAATTACTATTTCAATAAGAGTCCTCCCTGGAATTAAGAGAGCCCTATAACCAGTGTTCCCACGGGTGTCTACCCTAGGCTACAACGCTAAGGGTTCAGAGGAACACAATTACTATTTCAACAAGAGTCCTCCCTGGAATTAAGAGAGCCCTATAGACATGGGAATGTAATGAAATGGTGAAGCATACTATACTGGTAGACTTAAGTTTTACTATGGAACCTTTATTTTTCTTGTCAAGAATTTGGCACAATGAATATTTTTGTGTCTCTTGAGGCGAGACACATATTTTCCCTGTGTCCACTCTATACACTTGCATGTACTAGACAAACATTTCAGTGTTGAGTAAAAACCTGCTCACATGAAGAATATCACACTCTAGGTTCTGTGAGCAGTATCTGATAATTGTTGAGTTTGACTTTGAAGAACTTCAAATTCTCACAATTCATTCTCATAGAATTGACCAGAATTAATGCCCTATGAGCCTAGCAATTTTTGGACAATCTCTGAAAGTTTAAAAAATATTTTTTTAGCAATTCGAAAAGCATGAATGAACGAAATGTTTAATACTAGGATCAGATTTCCATGCATTAATTTTTAATCAGGACACACGTTTACGTCACTTCCTTCCTGCACACCAACAAAACTCAATGTTATTGATTTGTACTTGTAGCCGGATCTAAATGCTTTGTTGTTGACGCTTCCGTCATGTCCCACAACCAACTATCCAAGCCTTTGAAGATCCGGATTATTATTGATCTTCAGTAACCCATTCTTGTCGTAAGAGGCGACTGACGGGATTGGGTGGTCATGCTCGCTGATTTGGTTGACACATGTCATGCTTTCCCAATTACATGGATTGTCTGGTCCAGACTCGATTATTCACAGACCGCCGCCATATAACTGTAATAGTGCTGAGTGTGGCGTAAAACTAAACTCACTCAACACTACTCGTCATACTTGATGCCAGTCCTAAAACCAAACTGAACAGCGCTCTCTCCACTTCCTTTCATCACATTATTGACTTTTGATTACTTACACTGCTTGTCATGATTATTGTTAATCACAAACCAAAACACCGACAACAACAAGCCCCACAGATCTATTAGTCTGTCTCACAGTCCCTGAACCACATTATTTTCCCTACTGCCAAGCTCTCTCTGCAGTGCTAAAGCCCTAACTAAAGCAAGTCTAGATTTCCTAAGGTTCTGAATCTCTGGTCTCCCTAGGGCTCCTTTTCAATGCATCTGGGCTTGTTTGTTACTATTAAAATTATATATATTCAGAGACTAAGCATTAGTCTACATATTTATGTGCTACGTAGTCTGCTTTCACAAAACTTAAAAACAGTGGCTGTAATTTTTTGTTTACCACTTGTGCTGAAGAAAGTGTATGTGAGTGGACATCCACTCATTAGCATAGTCCCAACCATCACCTATGATGCATCATTCACTTTTTCATCACCATATTTACATCCTTATTCTATTATATATATAATAAGTACCGTGTTGTTCTTTGCATCCAAAGCTTAGCATGGGAAACGATGACACCATCCCTATCATCAGTAAGCATGACAAACTGAATATTTATTGATATGTATCTATTTTCAGTGTCACATTTCAACCATGGTGGTGACAAATAGGCCATGGTAACACATGAGTAGCAACAGCAGTGATTCACACTGCCATGTCATGGTGACATCACTTTTGTGATGAAATAAATATTTGCAGCTTATTATGGACAGCGTCATGCCGTAATGCAGAGATTTACAGGACGTGACTTCCTGCGGCCTATACGCATAAAAATTGACAATGGACGCAACTAAACTTGTTAGCGCATCCACAGGGACGTAGAAAAAGTTCAAATACTTTTGTAAAAATTCCAATCAAGTAACAATAAGTTATCATTGAGTTTGCTACTATCTTGGTTATGGTATACTTTGCAATTTCATTACTGTAACAATTAACATGATGAATGTGTTGATCATGATACACAATACAATAACAGTATTAGTAATAATATTTAAGTGTCTTGGACCCCCTTTTGTTGTCCAGGACCCCTGAAAATTATAAGCATGAGTCCCAGGACCCTGAAATGCAGGACCCGAGGTAAATCCCTCGTGAGGCTATAAGCATGAGTCCCAGGGACCCTGAAATACAGGACTCAAGGTAAATCCCTGGTGAGGCTATAAGCATGAGTCCCAGGGACCCTGAAATGCAGGACTCGAGGTAAATCCCTGGTGAGGCTATAAGCATGAGTCCCGGGGACCCTGAAATACAGGACTCGAGGTAAATCCCTGGTGAGGCTATAAGCTTGACTCCAAGGATCCTCCAATACAGGACTGAGGTAAATCCCTGGTTAGGCTATCAGCATGAGTCCCGGGACCCTGAAATGAAGGACTCGAGGTAAATCCCTGGTGAGGCTATAAGCTTGACTCCAAGGATCCTCCAATACAGGACTCGAGGTAAATCCCTGGTTAGGCTATCAGCATGAGTCCAGGGGACCCTGAAATGCAGGACTCGAGGTAAATCCCTGGTGAGGCTATCAGCATGAGTCCCGGGGACCCTGAAATACAGGACTCGAGGTAAATCCCTGGTGAGGCTATAAGCATGAGTCCCGGGACCCTGAAATGAAGGACTCGAGGTAAATCCCTGGTGAGGCTATAGCTTGACTCCAAGGGATCCTCCAATACAGGACTCTGAGGTAAATCCCTGGTTAGGCTATCAGCATGAGTCCCGGGACCCTAAAATACAGGACTCAAGGTAAATCCCTGGTGAGGCTATAAGCATGAGTCCGGGGACCCTGAAATGAAAGGACTCGAGGTAAATCCCTGGTGAGGCTATAAGCTTGACTCCAAGGATCCTCCAATACAGGACTCGAGGTAAATCCCTGGTTAGGCTATCAGCATGAGTCCCGGGACCCTAAAATACAGGACTCGAGGTAAATCCCTGGTGAGGCTATAAGCATGAGTCCCAGGACCCTGAAATACAGGACTCGAGGGAAATCCCTGGTGAGGCTATAAGCATGAGTCCCAGGACCCTCAAATATAGGACTCGAGGTAAATCCCCTGGTGAGGCTATAAGTAAGAGTCCCGGGGACCCTGAAATGAAGGACTCGAGGTAAATCCCTGGTGAGGCTATAAGCATGAGTCCCAGGACCCTCAAATATAGGACTCGAGGTAAATCCCTGGTGAGGCTATAAGTAAGAATCCCGGGACCCTGGAAATGCAGGACTGGAGGTAAATCCCTGGTGAGGCTATAAGCTTGACTCCAAGGACCCTGAAATGCAGGACTCGAGGTAAATCCCTGGTGAGGCTTTTAAGCATGAGTCCCGGGGACCCTGAAATACAGGACTCGAGGTAAATCCCTGGTGAGGCTATAAGCTTGAGTCCAAGGATCCTGAAATACAGGACTAGAGGTAAATCCCTGGTGAGGCTATAAGCATGAGTCCCGGGACCCTAAAAATACAGGACTCAAGGTAAATCCCTGGTGAGGCTATAAGCTTGACTCCAAGGACCCTGAAATACAGGACTCGAGGTAAATCCCTGGTTAGGCTATCAGCATGAGTCCGGGGACCCTAAAATACAGGACTCAAGGTAAATCCCTGGTGAGGCTATAAGCTTGACTCCAAGGACCCTAAAATACAGGGACTCAAGGTACATCCCTGGTGAGGCTATAAGCTTGAGTCCCAGAACCCTGAAATACAGGACTTGAGGTAAATCCTGGTGAGGCTATAAGCTTGACTCCAAGGACCCTGAAATACAGGACTCGAGGTAAATCCCTGGTGAGGCACTATAAGCATGAGTCCCTGGGACCCTGAAATGCAGGACTCGAGGTAAATCCCTGGTGAGCCTATAAGCTTGAGTCCAAGGATCCTCCAATACAGGACTCGAGGTAAATCCCTGGTGAGGCACTATAAGCATGAGTCCCAGGGACCCTGAAATGAAGGACTCAGGTAAATCCCTGGTGAGCCTATAAGCTTGAGTCCAAGGATCCTCCAATACAGGACTCGAGGTAAATCCCTGGTGAGGCTATCAGCATGAGTCCCATGGACCCTGAAATACAGGACTGAGGGGTAAATCCCTGGTGAGCCTATAAGCTTGAGTCCAAGGATCCTCCCAATACAGGACTCCGAGGTGAATCCCTGGTGAGGCTATCAGCATGAGTCCTGGGACCCTAAAATGCAGGACTCATGGTAAATCCCCTGGTGAGCCTATAAGCTTGAGTCCAAGGATCCTCCAATACAGGACTCGAGGTGAATCCCTGGTGAGGCTATAAGCATGAGTCCCGGGGGCCCTGAAATACAGGACTCGAGGTAAATCCCCTGGTGAGCCTATAAGCTTGAGTCCAAGGATCCTCCAATACAGGACTCCAGGTGAATCCCTGGTGAGGCTATAAGCATGAGTCCAGGGACCCTGAAATACAGGACTTGAGGTAAATCCCTGGTGAGCCTATAAGCTTGAGTCCAAGGACCCTCAAATACAGGACTCGAGAGGTAAATCCCTGGTGAGGCTATCAGCATGAGTCCCGGGACCCTGAAATGAAGGACTCGAGGTAAATCCCAGTGAGGCTATAAGCATGAGTCCCAGGACCCTCAAATACAGGACTTGAGGTAAATCCCTGGTGAGGCTATAAGCATGAGTCGGGGACCCTGAAATGCAGGACTAGAGGTAAATCCCAGGTGAGGCTATAAGCTTGAGTCCAAGGACCCTGAAATACAGGACTCGAGGTAAATCCCTGGTGAGGCTATCAGCATGAGTCCCAGGGACCCTGAAATGCAGGACTCCAAAGTGGTAAATCCCTGGTTAGGCTATCAGCATGAGTCAGGGGACCCTAAAATACAGGACTCAAGGTAAATCCCTGGTGAGGCTATCAGCATGAGTCCCGGGGACCCTGAAATGCAGGACTCAAGGTAAATCCCTGGTGAGGCTATAAGCATGAGTCCCAGGACCCTGAAATACAGGACTCGAGGTAAATCCCTGGTGAGGCTATAAGCATGAGTCCCGGGGACCCTGAAATGCAGGACTCGAGGTAAATCCCTGGTGAGGCTATAAGCATGAGTCCCAGGACCCTGAAATACAGGACTTCGAGGTAAATCCCTGGTGAGGCTATAAGTAAGAGTCCCGGGGACCCTCAAATACAGGGACTCGAGGTAAATCCCTGGTGAGCCTATAAGCTTGAGTCCAAGGATCCTCCAATACAGGACTCGAGGTGAATCCCTGGGTGAGGCTATCAGCATGAGTCAGGGGACCCTAAAATACAGGACTCATGGTAAATCCCTGAGTGAGCCTATAAGCTTGAGTCCAAGGATCCTCCAATACAGGACTCGAGGTGAATCCCTGGTGAGGCTATAAGCATGAGTCCCGGGGCCCTGAAATACAGGACTAGAGGTAAATCCCTGGTGAGCCTATAAGCTTGAGTCCAAGGATCCTCCAATACAGGACTCCAGGTGAATCCCTGGTGAGGCTATAAGCATGAGTCCAGGGACCCTGGAAATACAGGACTTGAGGTAAATCCTGGTGAGCCTATAAGCTTGAGTCCAAGGACCCTCAAATACAGGACTCGAGGTAAATCCCTGGTGAGGCTATCAGCATGAGTCCCGGGGACCCTGAAATGCAGGACTCGAGGTAAATCCCTGGTGAGGCTATAAGCATGAGTCCCAGGACCCTGAAATACAGGACTTGAGGTAAATCCCTGGTGAGGCTATAAGCATGAGTCCCGGGGACCCTGAAATGCAGGACTCGAGGTAAATCCCTGGTGAGGCTATAAGCTTGAGTCCGAGGACCCTGAAATACAGGACTCGAGGTAAATCCCTGGTGAGGCTATCAGCATGAGTCCCGGGGACCCTGAAATGCAGGACTCAAGGTAAATCCCTGGTGAGGCTATCAGCATGAGTCCCGGGGACCCTGAAATACAGGACTCAAGGTAAATCCCTGGTTAGGCTATCAGCATGAGTCCCAGGGACCCTGAAATGCAGGACTCGAGGTAAATCCCTGGTGAGGCTATCAGCATGAGTCCTAGGACCCTGAAATACAGGACTCGAGGTAAATCCCTGGTGAGGCTATAAGCATGAGTCCCGGGGACCCTGAAATGCAGGACTCGAGGTAAATCCCTGGTGAGGCTATAAGCATGAGTCCTAGGACCCTGAAATACAGGACTCGAGGTAAATCCCTGGTGAGGCTATAAGCAAGAGTCCTAGGACCCTCAAATACAGGACTCGAGTGTAAATCCCTGGTGAGGCTATCAGCATGAGTCCCGGGGACCCTGAAATGCAGGACTCGAGGTAAATCCCTGGTGAAGGCTATCAGCAGGATGAGTTTACATAGATTTTGTACCATTTTTTAATAACATACGTTTCTACAATCGGAGTACTGCACTTTACCGGGCGCACCTTTTCAGTTTAATAAGCACTGCTGGGATTCCCTACCCCTAACCCCTAACGCTAAGGATCGTAAAGGGTGTCTAACCCTAAGGATCCTAAAGGGTGCCTAACCTTAAGATAGTAAAGGGTGCCTAACCCTAAACCCTAACCCTAAGGGAGCAGCGAGGAAGTGCATTCTAGCCCTACAATCCAGTGAGATTCAACAATCAAGAATGATGTAAACAATTAAAGCTTGAGTACTGCTTCGATTCTTTGTCAAGGAATATAAATAAAGTATAGTAAAATCAACTGCCCCCCAGCTCGTGGTGACTGCACAGGCAACAGCATGGGAAGGTGCATGTATTCCAGATATGCAGCACGAAATGACACAACAAATCAGTGTTAATGAAACAAAAATGACTTTAAATAAAAGCGTTCTAAATTCTACTGATCAACACACTGTCGGAGCCATTTAAATTTGGGGTCGAGAGAGAGGGGGAGTTGGCGGTCACCGGTAGGGGACACTGGCGTGACAACGGTTCAGTCGTTAGCCAGATGATTAACTCAGAACACTTGTTTAATCTACAACTTGCGAGGGTCTCACCGATTTTAACTCGTAATGTTTCCTCCACTCTCACGTCCCGCAGAGATGCCATTTCATCCACTTCCGCATTTCTCCATCTGCAAAATCGGATGTGACGTCACTGGAAGTACAAATGCAAAAAGCGAAATGCTTTGAAACGAAATTAATGTATGTGCAGCTTTCTCCTCAATTTTCAAATTCATGTTTTCAATGAGGACAATGGATAGTTTATACCCTAGACCATTAGTTCAGTGACTGGGCTATAGTCATTCTATAGTTATGCAAACAGACTCGAATGAAAATAGCCAAATGCTATCAAGACCGAAAATAAAATACCATGTCGTAAAATAGCCCAGAATGGCTTAGTGAAGTAGTGAACACGGCATTTTACAATGTTTCAGCCTTTTTGCAACTGAAACCCATTTCGTTTTACATACAGTATTCGTTATAAGTCCAGTTTAAATGTATTTTCTAACTCTTACAGTATTAAAATGGTAAAGTGCCTAGCAGTTTGGTGCTGGCAGCGATCTGCCTAGTCCAATAAATTGTACCTAATCAATGTCTGCTGGTGGTTTCCTGGATGTCTGCTAGATGTCTGCTAGATGTCTGCTGGATGTCTGCTGGATGTCTGCTAGATGTCAGCTGGATGTCTGCTGGTTGTTTCCTGGATGTCTGCTAGATGTCTGCTAGATGTCAGCTGGATGTCTGCTGGATGTCTGCTAGTGGTTTCCTGGATGTCTGCTAGATGTCTGCTGGATGTCTGCTGGTGGTTTGCTGGATGTCTGCTGGATGTCTGCTGGATGTCTGCTGGATGTCTGCTGGATGTCTGCTGGTGGTTTCCTGGATGTCTGCTAGTGGTTTCCTGGATGTCTGCTAGATGTCTGCTAGATGTCAGCTGGATGTCTGCTGGATGTCTGCTGGTGGTTTCCTGGATGTCTGCTAGATGTCTGCTGGATGTCTGCTGGTGGTTTCCTGGATGTCTGCTAGATGTCTGCTAGATGTCTGCTGGATGTCTGCTGGATGTCTGCTAGTGGTCTCCTGGATGTCTGCTGGATGTCTGCTGGATGTCTGCTGGTGGTTTCCTGGATGTCTGCTAGATGTCTGCTGGATGTCTGCTAGATGTCTGCTGGTGGTTTCCTGGATGTCTGCTAGATGTCTGCTGGATGTCTGCTGGATGTCTGCTGGATGTCTGCTGGATGTCCTGGATGTCTGCTGGATGTCTGCTGGATGTCTGCTGGTGGTTTCCTGGATGTCTGCTAGATGTCTGCTGGATGTCTGCTGGATGTCTGCTGGATGTCTGCTGGTGGTTTCCTGGATGTCTGCTATGTCTGCTGGATGTCTGCTGGTGGTTTCCTGGATGTCTGCTACATGTCTGCTGAATGTCTGCTAGATGTCTGCTGGTGGTTTCCTGGATGTCTGCTAGATGTCTGCTGGTGGTTTCCTGGATGTCTGCTGGATGTCTGCTGGATGTCTCCTGGATGTCTGCTGGATGTCTGCTGGATGTCTGCTAGATGTCTCCTGGATGTCTCCTGGATGTCTGCTGGATGTCTGCTGGATGTCTCCTGGATGTCTCCTGGATGTCTGCTAGATGTCTGCTGGATGTCTGCTGGATGATTGGATGTCTGCTGGACATGTCTGCTGAATGTCTGCTGGATGTCTGCTGGTGGTTTCCCTGGTGTATGCTAGATTTCTGCTGGATGTCTGCTGGATGTCTGATGGTGGTTTCCTGGATGTCTGCTAGATGTCTGCTGGATGTGTCTGCTGGATGTCTGGATGCCTGCTAGGTGTCTGCTGGAGGTCTGCTGGATGTCTGCTGGTGGTTTCCTGGATGTCTGCTAGATGTCTGCTGAATGTCTGCTGGATGTCTGCTGGTGGTTTCCTGGATGTCTGCTAGATGTCTGCTGGATGTCTGCTGGATGTCTGCTGGATGTCTGCTGGATGTCTGCTGGATGTCTCCTGGATGTCTGCTGGAGGTCTGCTAGATGTCTGCTGGATGGTCTCCTGGATGTCTGCTGGTGGTCTCCTGGATGTCTGCTGGATTGTTTCCTGAATGTCTGCTGGATGTCTGCTGGATGGCTGTTGGATGTCTGCTGGTGGTTTGCTGGATGTCTGCTAGATGTCTGCTGGATGTCTGCTGGATGTCTGCTAGATGTCTGCTGGATGTCTCCTGGATGTCTGCTAGATGTCTGCTGCTGGTTTCCTGGATGTCTGCTGGATGTCTGCTGGTGGTTTCCTGGATGTCTGCTAGATGTCTGCTGAATGTCTGCTAGATGTCTGCTGGTGGTTTCCTGGATGTCTGCTAGATGTCTGCTGCTGGTTTACTGGATGTCTGCTAGATGTCTCCTGGATGTCTGCTGGATGTCTGCTAGATGTCTGGATGTCTGCTGGATGTCTCCTGGATGTCTGCTAGATGTCTGCTGGTCTGCTGGATTTCTGCTGGATGTCTGCTAGATGTCTCTGAATGGCTGTTGGATGTCTGCTGGATGTCTGCTAGTGGTTTCCCTGGATGTCTGCTAGATGTCTGCTGGTGGTTTCCTGGATGTCTGCTAGATGTCTGCTGGTGGTTTCGCTGGATGTCTGTCTGGATGTCTGCTAGATGTCTGCTGATGTGGGTTTCCTGGATGTCTGCTAGATGTCTGCTGAATGTCTGCTAGATGTCTGCTGGTGGTTTCCTGGATGTCTGCTAGATGTCTGCTGCTGGATTTTCCTGGATGTCTGCTGGATGTCTGCTGGATGTCTGCTAGATGTCTGCTGAATGGCTGTTGGATGTCTGCTGGATGTCTGCTGGTGGTTTCCTGGATGTCTGCTGGATGTCTGCTGCTGGCTTCCTGGATGTCTGCTGGATGTCTGCTGGTGGTTTCCTGGATGTCTGCTAGATGTCTGCTGAATGTCTGCTGGATGTCTGCTGGTGGTTTCCTGGATGTCTGCTAGATGTCTGCTGCTGGTTTCCTGGATGTCTGCTGAATGTCTGCTGGTGGTTTCCTGGATGTCTGCTAGATGTCTGCTGAATGTCTGCTGGATGTCTGCTGGTGGTTTCCTGGATGTCTGCTAGATGTCTGCTGGTGGTTTCCTGGATGTCTGCTAGATGTCTGCTGGTGGTTTCCTGGATGTCTGCTGGATGTCTGCTAGATGTCTCCTGGATGTCTGCGAGATGTCTCCTGGATGTCTGCTGGATGTCTGCTAGATGTCTGCTGGATGTCTGCTGCTGGTTTCCTGGATGTCTGCTAGATGTCTGCTGAATGGCTGTTGGATGTCTGCTGGATGTCTGCTGGAGTGGTTTCCTGGATGTCTGCTGGATGTCTGCTGCTGGCTTCCTGGATGTCTGCTGGATGTCTGCTGGTGGTTTCCTGGATGTCTGCTAGATGTCTGCTGGATGTCTGCTAGATGTCTGCTGGAGGTTTCCTGGATGTCTGCTAGATGTCTGCTGCTGGTTTCCTGGATGTCTGCTGAATGTCTGCTGGTGGTTTCCTGGATGTCTGCTGGATGTCTGCTTAATGTCTGCTAGATGTCTACTGGTGGTTTCCCTGGATGTCTGCTAGATGTCTGCTGGTGGTTTCATGGATGTCTGCTGGATGGCTGCTGGATGTCTGCTAGATGTCTGCTGAATGTCTGCTAGATGTCTGCTGGTGGTTTCCTGGATGTCTGCTAGATGTCTGCTGCTGGTTTCCTGGATGTCTGCTGGATGTCTGCTGGTGGTTTCCTGGATGTCTGCTAGATGTCTGCTGAATGTCTGCTGGATGTCTGCTAGATGTCTCCTGGATGTCTGCTGGTGTTTCCTGGATGTCTGCTAGATGTCTGCTGCTGGTTTCCTGGATGTCTGCTGGATGTCTGCTGGTGGTTTCCTGGATGTCTGCTAGATGTCTGCTGGATGTCTGCTGGATGTCTGCTGGATGTGTCTGCTGGATGTCTGCTAGATGTCTGCTTGATGTATGTCTGCTGGATGTCTGCTGGATGTCTGCTGGATGTCTGCTAGATGTCTGCTGGATGTCTGCTGGATGTCTGCTTGATGTCTCCTTGATGTCTGCTGGATGTCTGCTAGATGTGTCCTTGATGTCTGCTGGATGTCTGCTGGATGTCTGCTAGATGTCTGCTGGATGTCTGCTAGATATCTGCTAGGTGTATCCTTGATGTCTGCTGGATGTCTGCTAGATGTCTGCTGGATGTCTGCTAGATGTATCCTTGATGTCTGCTAGATGTCTACCAGATATCTGCTAGGTGTATCCTTGATGTCTGCTGGATGTCTGCTAGATGTCTGCTTGGTGTATCCTTGATGTCTGCTGGATGTCTGCTAGGTGTATCCTTGATGTCTGCTGGAGGTCTGACAGATAACTTCTCTCGTAATGTTGTACCTGACAACTCGTGCAAAGGAGTTTTCCAACCTGGTTCCCGGGGTCTGTTGCGCCAGGCTTAGGCGTTTTCTTGTAATATTTAATATTCACTAGCCTGTGGATATCATTGTTATCGCATCTGAAGTCTGAAATATCATATGCAATATATGTTGTTCTCATCAAGGCAACAATAGTAAAACAACTCTCTTGGAAAACTTGTAGTTGAAGTTGTAGTTGAAGCTCAACTTTGACCTTTTGTCCTTTGTCCTTTTGCAATGCACTCATACAGTCGAAGCTTTCTTTACACATATACAAATTCAATGTATGGACATATCCTGCCTGTTATATGTTATGGGTTATGGTTTAAACATCTTTGTTTTGGCCAAAGCAGAAACCTGGATAGGCGAACAAGCCTAGTGGCTTATATAAACGCCGCTCCAGTACATTGTTCCAATAGCTGGATACATAAATGAAATAATTTGACAACAAAAGAATAATACAATAACAAGATATATGATTGAGTAACAAATATGTTCGTTGTGGTGTTGGTTGATGCCTAGCAACGAAATGGGCTGCCGCAGAAAATCACGTTATATAAAATTTGTCTTACACTGAATATATAGAGTACAACCAGAAATTATTGAGAATTTAAGATTGTATTTTTTTTCACTGATTACTCATTTATTTAATGTGAATATTAGCAGAACATAACTCCAGATTCAAAGACAGGTGAACAGTTAGTGTTTTGTCAAGACACCGTGGGCAGCAATGCAGG